CTTACAATCATGCGAAAGCATCAATTGTATGCTAACCTCAAGAAGTGTATATTTGCAGCAAGCGAAATACCACTTCTTGGGTGCATCGTTGGTAAGAACGGTGTACGTCCTGATCCCGAAAGGATCAAGGCGATCACCGACTGGACTGTGCCAGTCGAGGTCAAAGGTCTTCGAAAATTCCTTGCGCTAGCGGCGTATTTGCACAAGTATTCACGCAATTACGCCGAGATGACTGTACACCTCTCTCGTTTGTTGAAAAAGAACGAGAGGTGGTTATGGAACGCTGAATGTCAACGCTCCTTTGAGGGTATCAAGCAGAGCTTGATACAATCCCCAGTCCTAGCAATAGCCGATCAGGACAGGCCATTTCATGTGGTCTGTGATGCCAGCGATTTCGCAATCGGCTGTGCATTAATGCAGTACGATCTTGAAGGCGTTGAACGCGTCGTCTGCTATCAGTCGCGTCAGCTGCAACCAGCTGAGCGGAACTATCCAGTGCATGACAAGGAACTCCTTGCCATGAAGTATGCACTCGCGAAGTTCAGAGTCTATCTATTAGGAGATATACCCTTCGTTGTTTACACTGACCATGCGTCATTACGCACGGCAGTGAACAGCCCGCACCTTTCACAACGAATGGCGCGGTGGTTGTCATTCTTTGCGGAATACAACTTTACGGTCGAGTACAAACCAGGACGACTTAATGTCGTCGCTGATGCACTCTCACGTCGTCCCGACTCTGAATCAGTCGTGAAACCCAACAGTGAGACAGTCACTGTTGCGGTTATGACGTCCTCAGTCCCATCTACAACGTTGTATGATGATGTGAGGCGGGCATACGCCCAAGATGGTGAGATTGTGAAGTTGTTGACACATCTCTCCCAACCATCCCGAGAATCGTTGAAACGATTGTCGTCTGCGTATCGATCTGCATCAGATCGATACACTACTCGTAACGGTTTACTGTATTATACAGCCGTTTCTGGCGACACACCACGTGTTGTCATTCCAGATGATACTGATCTGCGTTTGCGGATCATGTTCGAGTATCACGATGCTCCTATAGGAGGACATCGTGGCCGAGAGAAAACATATCTCACGGTAAGTCGAGACTTTTACTGGCCCCGCCAGTATCAGTTTGTGCGAAAGTATGTTCGCGCATGCGAAGTCTGCCAACGAGTGAAGTCAAGTCCTTCACTGCGTGCACCTTTACAGCCTCTACCGGTTCCGGCTGAGTGCTGGGAATCCATCTCAATGGATTTTGTCTTCGGGTTACCCAAAGACGCACGCAAGAATACGGGAATTCTCGTATTTGCTGACAGATTCAGCAAAATGGTACACCTTGTGGCTGTACTAGAGTCAATCACGGCAAGTGGCTGTGCATGTGTCTTTATCGACACCAACTTCCGACTTCATGGGTTGCCCCGTGAACTCGTATCAGACAGAGATCCACGATTCACTGCTGATTTCTGGCGTTCCGTGTTCAAATCACTCGGAACGCGCTTGAAGATGTCAACATCTGATCATCCAGAGTCAGATGGTCAGACGGAACGTGTCAATCGTGTCTTTGAAGAGATACTTCGAGGATACGTACACTCCTTTAAGAGTTGGAGTGAGTTTTTGCCCAAGGTAGAGTTTGCCAAAAAGAACTCGGTGCATGCGTCCACGACACATACGCCGTTTTACGTGAATGGCTTACGCCATCCGCGTGTACCCACCTTACTAGAGTGTAACTCTGGTTTAAGGGGGGGAGGGACTCGCGCGAGCAAAAACCGAATTGGTTTACGCTCATCACGCTCTGACGAATAGGTCATTGCGTTTGATGCCGATATCGATAACATCGATATCAAAGAAGATGATGCCAGTGAGAGTGCGGAAGCCCTCACTGAAGAAAAGGTTGATGTTGCTGCAGTGCACTTACAGCGCACTGGAGCTAACGAGTCATCAGATGAGTTCATACTGGCTCGTGAAACGGTAGTCCGTTTTGTGCAAGACTTCATCGACGAAGCGGTGGATAAGCAAAAGCAAAACGCTGACAAGAATGGAAGGGCAAACACTCTTTTATTTAATAAAGGTGACTTAGTCCTACTGTCTACGGTTAACCTACCAAAGCACGTGGTGACTAACTTGGGTAGTAGTAAAACTTCTACCCAAGTACATCGGCCCATTTCGGGTATTGCATCGCCTAGGCAATGCATACACGATCGAATTGCCACGTAAGATGCGAACGCATCCCACGTTTTACGTTGGTCGGCTTAAGTCGAACTGTGGCAAAGTCACTACTCAAATTTTGTACGAGGATCGGTGGCCACACCTTTAAAGCGCCGCTTACTGGTGGAAAAGGAGGCCATGAGACTCGGCGATCCAATACGGAGGTGGAAGATGATCTTAACGGGATCGGCGAACCGATCCAACTGTCGTTAGACTAATGGGTATGAATCGACCTGGGACGGAGCGATCTGGAACGATTTACATGGAACAATCTGGGACAAGGATCTGGGACCGGGTGATGGGATATGACTCTGCGACGAAGGTGTAACATCTTGCAGAATGTTATGGGGCGATCTGGAACCAGACATCGGGATGAAGTCATACAGCTCATTGGAATGCCGGTCAAGAAGAAGTATACGTACATTGAAGCAGGCTAAGATCAGATCGCAGATCGACATGTTGTGGCAACGGTTTGTTGGAGAATTGACACATCTGGGACAAGGTGACTCCCCAAAGTGCATCTGGGACCAGGTGGTACGGGTCGGTGAATTCGCAAAGAAGGTGCAACACCATACGGATCGGCGATACTCTTTACTGATCCTAAATTGGGAGTACTGATTTTGGTTAATTATACACCGATCTGGAAGTTTTTGCATACTCAGGGGAGTCAAGGAAACCGATGTCGAGACGTATGAATGAAGTTGTCGATTGGATAACACTGGAGGATGATATTGAAGCACGTATGAGGAGATGAAAAAGTGTTAATTGCCGATTTAGACCGGATCGACCTCCAACATCTCGATATTGGATGACAGATCGGTCATGTTCCACACTGATCAGGAATATATGGTTGATGAAGATACTGGATCATGTGGAATATACTTGATAGAGGTCACTAAGTGATGTCAAGAAGTTTCATGCCGAAAGAGCCAGTGGAAGCTGTCCGAATTGACGTCGCAAAGTGAATTGGGACACATTCGGCATTTTGGGTCATATATTGGGTACTTGGGTGCCAAGAATGGGTATTTGGTACCATATAGGAGATTTTGGTCCATTTGGTGCTCTAGGTACGATATCGGGGATATTGGCGCTATCATTGGAGTACAGGGCACGAAATTTCGACACGTGGCAAGGGGGCGATCCAGATTCAAGGCGATATCGGTTTGAAGAGTGACCTATAGTTAAGAATAGGCTTAAGGGTAGGTTGGATAGTAATTTGGTTGGTTAATAAACAGACTTGAACTCTACTTCTTCTGCTCACGACGCACGTTATCCTCCTCTCTTCTCCAGGCAAAATTGTTTGGCTTCCCCGGCGGGTTAAGGCACGCGTGTTACAGGGACACAGAAGACCGATCTTGGATTGTTGGCCAAGATCGAGAAGAGCGATCCCGGGATATCTGGCCCGGATCGATCAAGTACTCACACTCAACTCAACTGCTAGGGTAGCAGCACACAACGGAAAAGGAAAAGGATTTTGGACACAGGATCGCGAGACGGCTCAAGTGGTCAGAAGATCTGGACAAGGCGTTCAAGACAAGACCGAGCAGGATCGAAGCGATCCCCTGGACAGATCGGCACGTTTCATTTTGGCGAAACAAGACACCGATCTACCCAAATTGCGCACTTCCGGCAAGATCGGCCGATCCCAAGACCAGATCGGACCGATCCCAAGGCAAGATCGACGCAGGACTTTTATTTGCTGAGTGAAGATTTCCGCACAGCAAAGACCCCGGTCTCGAAGACAAATCAAGATCGGTGCGATCCAAGATCGGGATCGCAGAACCCCCGTTCGTGGTGTGAAGATTTCCGCACCGGAAGCGAACCCTCAACCCAACCTCTCAGTGAGATCGACATCTCCCAAGGCCGTTACGAAGAGCTCAAGCCAGCCCAACCGACAGGTACACAAGGTGAGCACAAGGTCATACAACAAGGCACGAATCGGAGTACCCCCTCCGTAAGTGGGCAAGTCTGGCCAAGTGAAAAATCGACACTCATACAAGCAATTTTGTGAGATCGACTTCACCACAATGGTGCGCGTGCCCGGAACTTCTGAGGCCTCTGGATTTCACCGTGAGTCCACTGGTGAAGATGTCAAGATTAAGCAAGAACCTGGGATTGAAGTGTCAGCGACAAAGGGATCGACGCAGACACGCAGAAGCACAAGATCCTCAGATCATCAGAGTTTTGGGAGGGGCTCTGATGAAATGAAAATGAAAGAGGAAGATCGAGAGATCGATCTGGAAGATAAACCTCAATTCCCTCCTAGGGTCCCTTCGGGGGACACCGCAGATCGCTCTGCAAAGAGCAATCTGCTGGATGAAAATCCAATGGTGAAAACCAAATCGGCGAAAGCCAAACCCTATATCTTAGTCGATAGATCGCCCGACCTCAAGCCGAAGAGCACAATCGCGAGATCGACCACATCAGAATGATCCGCGACGAGATCGATGGGATCAGATGTCAAAGATCGCCAGATCGGCCGAACCGTGCAATCGAAGATCGGAGCCAAAGAGGAATACGATGAAACACCAGATAAGATCGCGATGCCAAAGACGGAATATAACCCAATAAAGATCGCGTCCATGGAGAAGTAGACGACGGGTGAAGCGCGGGAGCGTGCAAAATGGCAGTACTATTATGGCCAGTTGAAGACGCAGCTCAAGACGGACCCAGTGTTCAAGATATTAAGGCCCAAGGTGATTGGTCTTCTGGATAAGCCGATCTCGGTCCCACTTCACGGGACCAACAAAGTCGACGAGATCAATGTGATTTTGCAGATGTTTGACGACATGGGTATCTGCCCTGACGCTTTTGATGGAGATGAACTGCTGAGTTGCAGCTTGGAACAGTTGAAGGACGCGGCGAATGAGTTTGTAGAGATCATGATAATGCTGGTGGGCAAAGCGAATACTCCTGAAGACAAGATCGGGACGCCCTCGGGCTCGCTCTGTAAACACAGCGCGGGATCGCCCCGCTACGCCTCGGATGACTCCGAGAGAGAGTCAGATGGATACATCAGCATTCGTCAGATGTCTCTAGGACCATCGGGTGGAAGGTTCTTAAAGGACAAGATCGGACAAGCCAAGATCGACGCCTATAAGGGACAAGACAAGAGCAACATGCCGCAGAGATCGGCCAGTACCCGCACTGGGCTGGAGTATCAAGAAGAGGGCGATCTAAGTCGGTACTTCAATTCAGCCATGAAGAAGTACGAGGCGGATCAACGTACAGCTCAGCGAATGAATCGACAGCCAAACCGCTACCCAGATCGCCGTACTTTGCTCCAACCTTCACACGAAAGCCTTGACATGCCGGATGTGGAATTGGAGTCGGTGGGGTCGGACATTTACCAACATATCCATGAGGGGGCGGAATACGACCCGGATGATCTATGGATGCCCGAACCACGGCTCCCTCATGTAGCCGCGACCGGTGCGACTACCGGAGGGGAAAGCATCACGCAGAGGATCAGAATCTCAGCGATTTCTGAGCTGAAAGAATTCTCAGGGAAGGATCGGGAAGAAGACAAAGCACGGACCTGGATCGGCAAAGTGTAGTCAGCGTTTATCCGGGACCAAGCACCGGACGAGGAGAGATTTTCGGTCTTCGGTGATCTCATGGTGGGCCCAGCCCGCTACTGGTATCGACAGCTGATTAGATCGACGAGATTCAATTGGAAAGAATTGATGAACAGTTTTCTTGTGGAGTATGCGGGACACGGGATGTCCGCAAGCAGGCAGTACTACCATGCAAAGAAACGATCGGAGGAAGATCCTTTACAGTACCTGTATCGGCTTAATGTGAAGGGAATGCAGGCGAAGATACCGGTGATGACTGGATTGCCAGCTGCGCGCAAGGAACATGTCAATCATTTCATTGACACCTTGGACGACCCCGATCTGTCCAATCAATTCCTACTGCTGAATGTAGAAGACGCGGAGGCCATGCAAAAGACACTGCACGGATATCAACAAGGGAGATCGCGTCAAGGGAAAGTGATGATGGGATCGTCCAAATTCAAGCAGAAGGGAACTCAGGGTCCAGCGCTGTCTAAGCCTGCACGAGCGGTAAGGATGGTCCGTACCGAGGACGTCTGCAGCGAGTCAGGATCGGACACCTGCGGATCGGATTTGGAAGATCGATTGAGATCGATCCATGTGGCTGCTCCTGCGGATCGCCGTTCATCCCCCAATGACGTTGCAGCAAACGCGAGATCGGTCGACCCGAACACTCGTCAAGACTATTAAGATCGCAATATGCCATTGAAGCCGTGTACTCATTGCGGATCGACCAAGCATGGAGATCTCGGTTGCTGGAAGCGGCTCACTTGCCAGAAGTGTGGGCGTAAAGGACACCCCTCTGACGATTGTTTTTCGTGTGTCGTGCTTGCGGTGAGATGCACGACCCGGGGAAGTGTCCCATGGAGGAGTTCTACAACATGATCCGTCAGTGGTACGTCCCGAATAAGCATGCGGGGATGCTACCAGAGAAGGCCGAGAAGATGTTAAACTAGGACGCTCGCCAGGTTTGAATCTGGTACGAGCCGAGCGTTCTGGGCTCTGCATTATTGCATACGTGGAAAAAAAAGAAGACAGATCGCGAGAGTAAGCAGGATATTGACGTGGAAACAAATATATCTCGTTCGAAGTTAAAACGTGTCGCTTCCGTGTCCCATCTGAAGCGGATCGATGAGTACTCACGATCTGAACCAGCTATGGAGATCGAGCTCGCTTATGGTGAATCTCGCGGATACTGGAAACATTATTCACCCGGGAAGTGGTTCAAACAAGCGAAAGCCGTTGGCAAGATCAACAACGTAAAAGCTACTCTGTTATTTGATTCTGGTGCTGAAGTGTCGATCATTGACACCACCTTTGCTCGTGAGGTCGGTTGCAATATTGACGAAAGTCAACGACAAGAATGCATCGGGATTGGAGAAACTCCGTACATGACGGTAGGACGTACCAAGATCAAGGTTACCCTCGCGGGATCGCTGGTATACTATTTCAATGTATGGGTAGGCGATCTGGCAGGGCAAGAAGCGATTCTGGGTATGAATTTTATGGTGCCTGCTGGAGTGCGGCTCGATCTAGCGGATGGCGCGCTATGTCTACCAGAAGAAATCCGCATTCATCTCGCAGGACGTCACCCCGCGTACGGATCGAAGATACAACATATAACGGCGAAGGACCAACACGTGGTGATCCCGGTCGGAGAGTCAAGGGAAGTGAAGATCGGGATCGGAGGGGCTAAGATGAAGTTGTGGGTCGCTAGAGGACTAGATTTGGGTCCCCACTGTGATCTCGGGGTGGGGTAAGACGAAATACCTGCAGATGACCAACATTGGCGACCGTGAGATCATACTACCCACCCACACTATATTAGGCATGTGGGTCGAAGGCGATATGGTACCGCGAACTCAAGGTTTGGTGACAGTCGGGTCGGGGAAGTACAAGGAATGGCAAACTCTGGCATATGAGGCTACGACGGATCGAGTGAACGAATTCCCGAAAGAACCGATCGGACCATTGGTAGATCGTCCTACGTATGCCGCTCCCAAACGCATCTTGAAACGTCCGTCTGATGCGTTACAGAACCTGTCTCCGGCGATCTCCACGGTAACGCCGCAAGCTAACGATGACGATTCGCAAAAGGCAGATGCTGTAGTTGCGAGGGAAGTAACGGTCAGGGGAGCCGAACTATCGCGAATGGAGAACGGTCATGAGATCGGTACCCAACATGCAACGAAGGGAGACCGCGACACCGGGCAAGAAGGGCTACGTGACAGATCGTCTCTACCGAAGGCTGAGCCGACTGACCAACTGTTAAAATTGGGCCAGCCGGAAGAGACGAAAGAGCCTAAAGAAGAAATAGTGCTAAATACTGAAGACGTCGAGATTGCAGAAATACCAGTTTATCACCACGAGAGCGGAGATTTGTTTGCGGAAGATATCGAGCAGCATATGGCCGTGCTACCAGAGATGTCGGCGACTACGGAAGAAGTTACGATTGAGGACATTCAGATCGGTGATCCCGATGTGCCTCTCACCACAGATCAACAACAGCTCAGATCGCTGATCTGGAAGAGCCGTCACCTCTTCATGGGTAAAGGTAATGCTCTACCACCAGCAGCACGAGGCGCGATCTGTGATATTGATGTCGGTGGGGCAGCACCGATAGCGCAAAGAGTGCGTCCGGTCGCACCCAAATATCGGGAGAAGCTGTCAGATCTCATCAAAGGACTATTAGCAGCCAAAATCGTTCAGCCATCCACGTCACCTTGGGCGTCTCCGATAGTGGTGATCATCAAGAAGAACGGAGTGGATATTAGCCTTTGCATTGATTATCGAAGAGTGAACCAGCTGACGCGTCTGATGGTATATCCCATGCCGTTGATCAGCGATCTGTTGGAAGATCTGGATAAAGCTCTATGGTACTGTTCGCTAGACATGGCTAGTGGATTTTGGGTCGTCGAAATGACTGAACGAGCAAAACTGATCTCAGCGTTTGTCAAACCGTTTGGCTTGTTCGAGTGGCTGCGAATGCATTTTGGGCTTAAGAACGCGCCCCAGATCTACAAACGTCTGGTGGACAATGCGTTGTATGGATATCTCAAGATCGGCCAGAGATCAGCTTCTGATGGCCCGATCGACGTGTTCAAAGATGGAGAACCTGAGACAGATCGACGACCGTCTATACTGGGACGCCGATCTTACATTGACGGTATTCTCATACCAGCCACGTCATGGGGATCTTTGTACACAAAAGTAGAACGGTTGCTGGAGGCATGTGATAAGTGGAATCTGTCTATCAGCCTCACGAAGAGCTTTTGGGGTGCCGTAAGGTCGATTATTTGGGATATCGAGTGTCGATGGATGGTCTGGAGGCTCAGCCCAAGAACCTAGAGTCGTTGGTTAACATCCCGTTTCCTAGCACGCTACGAGCTATGCAATCCTTTCTCGGGAGCTTGAACTACTACCGTCGCTTCATTGAGGATTTCGCGGTGTATGCCGCGGTGTTGTATGAGTTAAGAGAATCGGATTTCTTCGAGATCGGCCGATCTCAGCTTGCAGCAGGAGACGAATGCTCCAACGAGGGTCGATGGACGGAAGCCAAGGTTACTTTCACTATGCTGAAAGCTAAGATAGCTACAGCTCCCATGCTCAAGCATTTCGACCCAGATCGGTCCCCCGTAATCGTGGTCTACGCTAGCAAGTGGGCTGTCTCAGCGGCCCTGATACAGGAGTAAGATGGCGTGTACCATCCGGTGACGTTTACTAGCCGCACTTTAAAGCCGAATGAGCTTATACACGGAACGGTAGAAAAAGAAGTGCTGGCGCTACTTCGTGTGTTGGATGTATGCTATACTACGCTTGCCTCGCGGGAGATCACTGTACTGACCCGACATTCTACGTTAGCCTGGTTGATGCAGTCTCGAGGGCTCAACGGGAGATTAGGACGGTGGGCTGCTTTGTGGTCAAATTGGACTATGGAGGTGAAGAAATGTGAAAGAGGAGAGGAAGAGATCCTGGGCATGTTAGCAGCGAGTACCACTCCGAGAGGAGAAGTGGAAGAGATGCTGATTGCGATCTCCCCACGAAAAGACTGTCGACTCAAAATATCGATGCCTCCTCTAACGGTGGAAACAGATGAGGAGTTGCTGGTGGCCAGTTTCGATGGATCGGCTACGATAAAAAAGAAAGGAGGGTCGTTCAGTGCCGTGATATGGAAGTTACCCGAATGGACGATCGTGGCGTCCGAATCGAGATATGTTCACGATCTGACTGTGAATGAAGCTGAGTATAATGGCTTGCTACTGTGCTTTGAGTTACTCGCCGATCTGGATAGGGGGCGAGTAATACTGTGTGGAGATTCCAGTCTGGTGATTCGACAGATGCGCGGTGAGATCGACTGCAAGGCACCGGGCCCTCAGCTTCTGAGACACAAAGCGTTGGAGAAGCTGCAGTCATGGCCTAGTCACGAGTTTCTGCATATGAAGCGAGAGTGGAATCAGAGCGCATATCGACTAGCCAGCACAGCATTGCAGAGCGAAAAGGGAAGAACTGTTGTAGCTGAAGAGGATCGGCAAGATCTGATGACTCTGAACCGTCTCGATGAATTGTTGAAGCCCAAGCAAGATGGTCATCTAGCTCGGGTAACTGCGATCGCGAGATCAGCCAGGAGGATACGTCATGAACCTGAAGTGATACAGGAGGAGATATTACAGAGGATCAGGATTCAACGAATTGTCCAAGCTCAAGATGAAGAGCGTTGAATTGTCAATCTCAAGACATATCTAAGTGGCGATGTATCAAACTTGGATGCGGTAGAAGTGAAGATGTGCGCCAAACTGGCGCCGGAATACGAGATCGATGAGAACAATCTGCTATTTTTTTGCCTCATGGCGAAAAGAGAGTCGGAAGATCGCGATGGTTTGATGCGGTTGGTGATCCCTGAGATGTTGCAGCAGGATTTTTTGCATCACTATCACACGAGTCTGGAAGGAGGCCATCAGGGTATTGGCCGAACCTATCAGAGGATCAGATCGCGATTTCATTGGAGAGGACTGTATCGGAGCGTTCAACGATATGTGGGCGAATTTACCGACTGTGAGACCGGGAAAGGAAACCCGATGATTCATGGGAAATCCCCGGGTAATCTACACGAAACCTATCCATTCCAGTTCATCGCCATGGATCATATACCGTCGTTTCCCATGTCCATCAAGGAGAACACCGAACTGCTCATTTGGATCGACCTTTTCTCGGGATATGTGATTGCAAAGGCTAGCTTCTCTCGGACGGCACAAACAATAGCGGAGAATTACGAAGAATGTGTGTTTCGACGCTTCGGAGCTAGCGAGGCTATCAGGCACGATCGAGAACCGGGATTTATGTCCGACTTCTTTCGAGCCTTCAGTCGGATCGTAGGACAAAAACAGCGTGCTACTATGGCTTACAGGCCACAAGCAAATGGAACAGCCGAACGAATGGTGCAAACCCTGACACATTCGCTCAAGATGTACGTGGCTGAAGTTGACCAGCGAGACTGGGATGAGTATGCTGAGCGGCTCACATTTGCCATTAACACTGCACAAGATCGGATCCGGGGGGATACCCCGTTTTATCTGATTCATGGGTGGGACCCGCGATCGACTTTGGAGGCTACGCTACCAGTGGGAAATACGGGGACACGAGATCGCGATCCAAAGAGGTGGAAATACAAAATCCAAAGACAATACCAGCGAGACCGATCCGCAGTGAACGATCGTTTACAAGCCGCAATCCAGGAGCGAGCGGATCGACACAACGAAGATCTGGAACCACACGAGATCGAAGTAGGAGCGCAAGTTTGGCTATACCTGGACCGAGTTAAAGAGGGATATGCGAAGAAGCTAGCGCACATGTGGCATGGGCCATTCCGAGTTGCGGACGTATGTGGAGATCATGCTGTAAAATTGGAGATCGCTGGAACCCCATATCGGTTATTTCCGATTGTACATATATCGAAGCTAAAAAAGGTAAAGACGTTCCCTAAACGCCCGAAGGATCAGCTTACGATAGAGGGATCAGATCGCTTGGATTTCGATGAAGCTCTGCTGCCACAAGACAGTTGGGATGGCGATCTTGAAGAAGGTGAATACGAAGTAGAGGCAATATTGGACGTGCGATCTGGTAGAGAAACCCGTTATGGGCGAGTACACCGGCAGTTTCTGGTGAAGTGGAAGGGATATCCCGATCTAAGTTGGGTGGACGAGGCTGATCTAAGTTGTGGGGCGATCTTGCAATAGTTTGAGCGGAACCGAGTGAGTCAAAACCGTTTCGACGTAATGCAGTCTCATGAAGGCAAGTCGGACGAACCTTAACAGTTCGAACAAGTATGCGGGAGGTAGCATATGCGGATGTAGGGGTTGAAAGATGTGCTAGACGGTAGCACATGCTGGTGGATGAGGTTTTTGTATGTGAGTATGGAGATAGTCAAGTGAATTACCTTCCTGAATGATGTGGAGCGATGAGGATCGAGATCGTGGAAGTTGCAAAGAATGGAAGTACCAAAAAAGAAGATGATTGAATGACTTACACGATTATGAAAGACGATCGGGCTTGGATATCGATCTTGGACTAAGACGAATGAACAGGTTTGAACTTGTCCTGCAGACGAGGGATCTGCGATCCGGGATGATCCCAATAGGCGTTACGGAACTGGTTGCGCCAAAGATCCTCTTGGTCTGCCATGTCCAACGCCTCTAGCAAGTCAGCTGGGTCGTTAGAATGTCCTAACCCTGGATGCCAAACTCGGTCTTCATGTGGGCGCGGATAGTGGGGGAAGAAGGGATCTCGCAAGATGTCGAGATCGCAGTGGCCAGCGATCATGCCGCTGAGTATCATCTTCAAGAATTTCTTCCAACGCGCTTTAAAGCGAGAACGGCGTTGTTTTCGTTGGCGCCAGAATGTCTGCATGAACCGTTCAGATCGCCGTTGAGCCGGAGGAATCGGGAAAGCATGAGTAGATTCCCACAGAGCTTGTCGATGAGTGGACTCAAGCTCCAGGTACCGATGACTCATATCACGATACCATCCAGTCATGGTGAACGATATCGGGTTCACTGGGACTATGATATTATCCCAAGGGGCTGTAGCGTAAAGAGCCTCGATGTGTTGCCGAGAGATCAGCCCAGGAGCTCAAGTCCCCGTAGGCGGAGCTCGTCCATGATTGTAGAAGGGAAACAGAAAATTCCTGGGCTTGGAGTAGTGGTGAAACAACAGCTCAATGGTCATGGTCCTCACGCAAACCATCGCGATCCGCGAAACGGACCATGGAGCGATCTCGGAAGCTACCCGTCGGGAGGGCGCCAGATAGTTGGGAATCCACCGATCCCGTGGTTGCTGGAGTGGCGGAAGATTGTCGAAGTCAACGGAAGAGAAAACTCTGTTAGCCATTTGGCGTGCCGGAAGGGTGATGCTGTTTTCGCTATCGGACGAATGGCGATCCGAAAGCGCAGTGGACTCCGGAGGCGGACTAACAGAGCCAGTCTCGCTGTGTGTCTCCTCTGTCGGCGATACCTCCACGTCTTCTACGCCGCCATTATCTTGAATTTCGACTACGGGGACAGCCGCGACCGGAGTGGATGGGTACGAAAGATAACGAGGCTCCGGAACGTCTGGAGAAGGCATACGCAACAGTGCTTGAACCAACGCAGTAGCTGCGGGAGAAGCGGAAACAACCCGAGTGGTCGGAGAGGGGTTCGGGGTCGAAGATCGGGCATCCGATCTAGGTTGACGACGAGCGGCCGATCTCGATTGGGATAATGCAGCACGAGTCAAATCATCCGAGCTAGAATCCGACTCGGTCAGCTCCTCACTTCCCGATCCAGTCCCAGAAGCCGCGGACGAAAGCGGAGAACAAGAAGAATTGGAGGCTCGGGTGGGGCCAATCCGGGAAGTTTGTTTAAAGGCATTGAAGGGTTCAACGACAATAGCCGGGAAGCCACACGGGCGGTAGAAGAATCACTGGATCGTGACCTTGGTTGAATACGCCGACGCTTGGTAGGCGGGCCGGACGATCTCGATCTGGACCTACGGGCAAGCGATCTCGATCCCGGGGTAGTGGGAGCAGGGGGCGATCCGGCCGGAGTAGCACTCTTAGGCGTTGATCGATCGGTCAACGCAGACGACCGGGATCCGAGTATAGCACTGTTCAGTGTGTCGAGGAGAGCACGGTGTTCAGCCATAGCCTGATCCCGATCATGCTCCACCACCTGCAACTGGTCGTGTACCTCGAGGTGTTCTGCAAGCTGACGACGTAGGTTGGCGTTCTCCGCCTGCGAAAGTGCCAACTGACCCTCTAGGGGAGTCAAACCATCCACTTGTTGTATGAGATCGCTGATCGAAGACAGTCCATCTGCGATCTCCTCCTGAGACTGAGCCAATTGCTCCTTCAAGTGCAAAAAACTATGTGAAGGAAGGACCTGTCCATGGTCAGCTGATCACGCTGCTGTCGGAGAGAATTGAGTTCGGCTTGGAGCGAATGAAGCTGAGCCCTCAAAGCATCCACCTGTCGTTCCAAGTCCCCCTGAGCCTCGTCGTTGGCACATATCAAAGTGCGTATCCGACGAATCTCTTCCGATTGATCTCGATATGTCCGCAGAGCTCGATTGCAATCACTCACAGAATGCACTGCGTCGACGTAGCGGCCCTGCATCCAGTCATATCGACGCTGGACGAAGGAGACAAAAGGAGCGGCTGATCTGTACAGCGAATCAAGCTCGTCTTGTAAGCAATACCCCCGGGCGACGGCATCTCGGTAGGACTGCTGGAGCGCATGAATGGTGTCGGCTTGGCTGCAGAAGGTAGCCTCTCGATCCCACAAATACGAGATCGTGGCCATCGTGAGACGAACGTCGTCGGCAGAAACTCTGGGAACGAAGCCGGTGACGCCCACAGCTGGAGCAGACCTTTCACGAGATTCATTAGCGGCCGGGATGTCGTATCTGGACGCATCTGGGGCCGCCCGAGGAGTGGGAAGCGGGAATGGCTCGGAAGAACGATCTGATAATTCCGCGTCGGTCGAGAGCGATCCGACCGATCTGGGATTACTGAGAGACTCATGTTGATCTGGAACGATAGGAGCATACCACCCGCGTCCGGCGATCTAGATGGCGAGTCTCGGGATGGAGACGAGGGTCTGGTCGGCTGTCAATCTGGCGATCCTGTGGGGATTGTGGGCGATCCGGTTGGGCCTAGATGGCGCGGAGACCCAGGCCGATCGGGGACCGCTGGGGTGTGTCCTCCGAGATCGGGCGATACGGGCGACAGGTCGCGATCCGGAGACAGAAACATGGTGGGTCCTTTTGATGAGATCGGCGAGGTGGGTGGATGCGTCGGAGAGGCCATGAGACGGACTTGAGTGCTTGGAACGAAATTGATGAGTGACTGTACTGAGGTCAATTGCTGTACAAAAGACTTCAGTACAGGGGGCGGTTGTGGCAAAGTCACTAATCAAATTTTGTACGAGGATCGGTGGCCACACCTTTAAAGCGCCGCTTACTGGTGGAAAAGGAGGCCATGAGACTCGGCGATCCAATACGGAGGTGGAAGATGATCTTAACGGGATCGGCGAACCGATCCAACTGTCGTTAGACTAATGGGTATGAATCGACCTGGGACGGAGCGATCTGGAACGATTTACATGGAACAATCTGGGACAAGGATCTGGGACCGGGTGATGGGATATGACTCTGCGACGAAGGTGTAACATCTTGCAGAATGTTATGGGGCGATCTGGAACCAGACATCGGGATGAAGTCGTACAGCTCATTGGAATGCCGGTCAAGAAGAAGTATACGTACATTGAAGCAGGCTAAGATCAGATCGCAGATCGACATGTTGTGGCAACGGTTTGTTGGAGAATTGACACATCTGGGACAAGGTGACTCCCCAAAGTGCATCTGGGACCAGGTGGTACGGGTCGGTGAATCGGCAAAGAAGGTGCAACACCATATGGATCGGTGATACTCTTTACTGATCCTAAATTGGGAGTACTGATTTTGGTTAATTATACACCGATCTGGAAGTTTTTGCATACTCAGGGGAGTCAAGGAAACCGATGTCGAGACGTATGAATGAAGTTGTCGATTGGATAACACTGGAGGATGATATTGAAGCACGTATGAGGAGATGAAAAAGTGTTAATTGCCGATTTAGACCGGATCGACCTCCAACATCTCGATATTGGATGACAGATCGGTCATGTTCCACACTGATCAGGAATATATGGTTGATGAAGATACTGGATCATGTGGAATATACTTGATAGAGGTCACTAAGTGATGTCAAGAAGTTTCATGCCGAAAGAGCCAGTGGAAGCTGTCCGAATTGACGTCGCAAAGTGAATTGGGACACATTCGGCATTTTGGGTCATATATTGGGTACTTGGGTGCCAAGAATGGGTATTTGGTACCATATAGGAGATTTTGGTCCATTTGGTGCTCTAGGTACGATATCGGGGATATTGGCGCTATCATTGGAGTACAGGGCACGAAATTTCGACACGTGGCAAGGGGGCGATCCAGATTCAAGGCGATATCGGTTTGAAGAGTGACCTATAGTTAAGAATAGGCTTAAGGGTAGGTTGGATAGTAATTTGGTTGGTTAATAAACAGACTTGAACTCTACTTCTTCTGCTCACGACGCACGTTATCCTCCTCTCTTCTCCAGGCAAAATTGTTTGGCTTCCCCGGCGGGTTAAGGCGCGCGTGTTACAGGGACACAGAAGACCGATCTTGGATTGTTGGCCAAGATCGAGAAGAGCGATCCCGGGATATCTGGCCCGGATCGATCAAGTACTCACACTCAACTCAACTGCTAGGGTAGCAGCACACAACGGAAAAGGAAAAGGATTTTGGACACATGATCGCGAGACGGCTCAAGTGGTCAGAAGATCTGGACAAGGCGTTCAAGACAAGACCGAGCAGGATCGAAGCGATCCCCTGGACAGATCGGCACGTTTCATTTTGGCGAAACAAGACACCGATCTACCCAAATTGCGCACTTCCGGCAAGATCGGCCGATCCCAAGACCAGATCGGACCGATCCCAAGGCAAGATCGACGCAGGACTTTTATTTGCTGAGTGAAGATTTCCGCACAGCAAAGACCCCGGTCTCGAAGACAAATCAAGATCGGTGCGATCCAAGATCGGGATCGCAGAACCCCCGTTCGTGGTGTGAAGATTTCCGCACCGGAAGCGAACCCTCAACCCAACCTCTCAGTGAGATCGACATCTCCCAAGGCCGTTACGAAGAGCTCAAGCCAGCCCAACCGACAGGTACACAAGGTGAGCACAAGGTCATACAACAAGGCACGAATCGGAGTACCCCCTCCGTGAGTCGGCAAGTCTGGCCAAGTGGAAAATCGACACTCATACAAGCAATTTTGTGAGATCGACTTCACCACAGTATGATCAGTACGCTGCTTCTTCCGATGAAGAACGCCCTTGCGCTCAAGCATCTCGCAGAGAGCCTTGTGCTCCCGATGGTGGGCATCGACAAGGGTCTGAAGAGCAGTTATCTCATCCCGAAGCCGATCAACAATTCCACGAGCTACCCTTAGCTCGTCACGCAGAGACGTCAGAGCTCTCTCGTTCTCAAGCTGAGCAAAGGCAAACTCATCTCGATGCTTCAAGACAGTGTCCGCCAGTTGAAGACGCCTGTCCAGCTCATGTTAGAGATCGCCGCGTAACGCTTGCATTACGCGATCAAAGAAGCTCTCGGGAACACACGCTTCCCCACGATTGTGTGGAGAGCGTCTTCTCTCCTCCTCCACCTCCATTAGAGGACTCTCGTGGTGGCCAGCGCTATCTGGTTGAGCAGGTGTTGAACCACCGCGACGTGAACGGACGTCGGACGAGTTACCTCGTCCGGTGGCGCGGCTATCCCCCGTCCTGGGATTCTTAGGAGCCCCGCTCCCAACTGATGATCGACGTACTGGGTCTGGTTGAGCAGTACGACGCGGCACATCCTGTGCCGCAGAAGGACCGCCGGAGAAAGTCTTCCCGGCACGGTCGTAAAGGGATTTCAGGTTGTCAATCCCTTCGTACATCTCAGTAGAGACTCGTACGCGCCACCACGGGCTGGTAAGGAGGTAAGCCTCCTTAGGTGCTCGTGCAGAGTTGTTCACACAACATGGGCACGAGTCTCCTCAGAAGAGACAGGGTAATCCTTTCTCCCTTGACAGACGATGCAGCTTGTAGCGTGCACCTGTCGGGGTTCGCTTTTCAAACTTATCACGAGCTTTGATAAGTTTGTCGTTCCAAACGTCACGACCTACATCCTCAAGGTCATGGATGTAAGCGTTCCACGCTTGAAGCAGTGAGGGACCATCACGTTTGTGATTCCCACTGTACCATCGATGTCTGAAGAAAGCATCGATGAAGAATTCATGTTCAGCGCGATAGTTTTTCGCACTGGGGTCAAGGTGATGGATCCTTGACGAATCGAACAATCGTGTTCGATAACGATCACTCGTCGTCGTCGAAAAGTGATCCATGACTGATTTAGGAGGCATCCATGCCTTCTTCTCAGGAGCGAGACGCAACACATTGCGGTCCCGCTCTTCCTGCGATGTGCCGACAGAAGTACTGGCACCTCGCTGCGAAGTGGTGTCAATAGGAGAACCGACACCACTGTGAGCGCCCGAGTCTCGCGACCTCGAGCGCCTTCGCTTCGACGATGGTTCATCTGATTCGTCAGATGAACCAAAGATGCTGCGTCGCATAGCATCATCCATGCCACGCTTGGCAGGCGGCTTGGTTTCGATCGCCGTCGATACGGATCCGTCTTCCGTATCAGGAGAGTATGAGACACCGAGCTCATACTCTGTGAAGACATGAGTGTCTTCATGACCAGCGCCTGTATCACCAAGTGACACAGGCTGAGTCGCTTCAGCAACCGATGAGACATCAGTTGCTGTGGTTTCTGCTTCGGCGTCCGCACAGAGACGTGCGGACGCGCTCTCGGCGGCCTTGCTCGCGCATCGCATGGGCTTGTTAACCATGCGATGAAATGTTGGAAAGTGGACTCGGACGAACAAGTGCAAACCCTGTCCCAAATGATTTGGGACGAGTATCCATTTAGTCAATCAGTCACTAAAGTGACTGATGGTTAGGGGGGAGGGTGATGTAAAGGGGTAAATCGTTACATAACAATTTATAAGAAATTGTTAATAGAATATTACTATTAGAGTTTTATTCTCAGAATATTGTCGTAAAGACAAATGTTCTGCAGCACTTACGAGTAGTTTCTAATTGGCTGATATAGGCCGTTATATCAACCAAAGAAGACGCTACACGACAGACGCACGCAATGAGTGGTGAGCAGATAGTTGATTTACACATTTGCATTCAGACATAGTTGGATGAGGATAAATCGTGATTTATTAACAGACATTAACTATGATAAATGCAGTTCTACTTTTTACTTTAACCAAGTACTCGCTTCTTCTTACCGTCTTCCTCTGCACGTACTAGTGTACGTGAAGTTACGAGGCACCGCCTTATTTTTTTGTATCAGAATAAGTAGCTTGCACTGTCACCAGTACAAGCTTCAGGGTGCCCCGTTACAAGCTAGGCCCACAACAACATAAATTTACATCCAATGCACTACCACGGGTTTTATCGGCATTGATGCAAGGAGCGCCCCCAGTTCAGTGTAAGTAATTCCAGCGTAAGGTGTGGTAAAGGATGCTGCAGCAAAGACACTAGGACTGTTGCTATATTATCCAGTTAAGTTCGTTCATGAGTAGAATTTTATTTACAGAAGTGTCAACTTGTAGGTCTATCCGATCATTCGGTATCAAATTAGATGCATGTACAGGTCGTCTACATCAGACATCAATTATAATTAAAACTAAGGCTTTTTATAAGAACAGTGTCTTAAATTACCATGCATTCTTCAAAAGATAATTCTTTTCTTTTGACTGTCGTAGTTGTGATCAAGCTTCTGAATGTCACTCGGCATGATTGTCAATGGATTTCTATTCACAACTAAATAGGTTAAAGACCACGTCCACAGTGATGGAAATCTACATTGCGTGTATCCATCCAGGATCGCTTTGGAACTGGTGAATAGCGCGCCAAGAAAACGTGGAAATGGTAACTCTAGTTGATCGTTCGTACAAAACACACTTTTCGCTGATGAGCCTTCACTTTTTGCTAATGAGCCTTCATCCCATACATTAATCAAGTAATTTATAGGAGATTCCTAACTTTCGACGTGTACTTATACTTACATGCTTCTAATTTCTAAATCTTTGCGGTCGAGACTGAGCCAGTCATGTCCGCAGTTCCACATAGAGCAGCCCCTCCGACGGGTAAGAGCACTTGAAATATATTCTTGCACCGGCTTGGTTAAGTAAATACCATGCGCCCTACACAACGTCTCTCTGACTCTCAAAAAGACCACCCCGATAAGATCCGACGACTACACTTCGTTAATGGTAAAAACGTACTCAGACCATCTTCCAGACGTTCGTGAGAACACGATACACCTGCTGTATGCTGCTCATCCTCCAGTTATGCGTAAGTGTTATAATATATATTATCTTCATCAATTGTCTGTTGTGGACAGCGTTGCATGAGCTTTACAGATTCACTGTTTTAACCTCACGGTCCTTGCTATTACCCATCCTTTATTGCCGTTCAATTGTTGTATGATAGCCTTCCGGCAGTGTCACGTGAAGCGCGTGACAAGCTTTGTCAACAGAAAAATCTCTCTCTTGTGATCTGGTTAAGGCCTACAACGTTCCTTTTAAGAAGGGAGGTCAGAAGTACGATAGCGTAGGTGATATGAGATCGTTGGACGTTTTTTCTTAAACGCACAACAAAGCAGTTTGACAATTTCGGTGATTTTCGATCCAATCACTTGTTTAATGTATGGGGCGAATGCTCATTCGTGAAAAGTGAAGGCTCAGTAACGGCTCCCTTCATTGAATAGTTCTGCATGACTCACATTCGTTCGGTAATTTCATAGGCTCTGGCCAAGTGACTAGCCGACATGGACGTCCCAATTTCCCACGGACACTATTGGCTTTTGCTGGTTTACTATTTGGGCATGAAAACTAGCTAGGCAATTCGGCACGGACAGCCAGCAATCGGGCCGCGTGAACGTCTCGCTTACACGAACACGGCAATGGGTAATCATTTTCAATGTAGCAAGTTGTGTTAAGCGAGCATGCGCTTCTTACTAGCTACGGTGATTCTTGTCCTCAGACACTCGGTTGCCCGACTGCAGTATCGCCGACGTCCGCACTCGTCTTCTTCGGGGCGAACAGTTCTTTGAGCCATACCAGCAGCCGCTCGGTTCCCACTCCGTGGTATTTTGTGAAATACAAATACCTTCTGTAGTCCGGCTTAAAAGCGAACAGGTTTTCGTGAGTAACTTTGTCGAGGTCTTTCACGATCTTCGGGTCGAGATCAAGTAGGTCTTGGTAATGAATCAAGCCATAGTTTTCCTTTTCCATTGCTGCGAAATCTGGTAGATACGCCGCAATCTCCGCCTTAGCTAACGCGTACTTCGACGCTTTCACATGGTCCTTCCACTCGCCCACTTCCTTGTTCAAAGCTGCCTCCTCCTTCTCCCAAGCACGTGTTGCTCTCCTCCAACGAAACTCTGAAATCTCTCTCAAGACAGACTTTGCCTCACTATTGGGGTGTTGCTTTCTCCAGGTGGCTTCTTTCTGCTCCCAAGCGGCTTCTTTCTCTCTCCAAGCAGCTTGTCCCTTTGTCCTCGCATCTTGGACCTCCTCCAGATACTGTTCATACTCCCTTAGCTCAGCCTCCATATCCTTTCTCTGGGCGGCACCCGGACCATCATAGTCCGCACGCCTCGTTCTCCAGGTGTCCTTAACCCACTCCCAGTGATCCCAACGTTTCTCCCAGTAAGCCTTCATCTCCATTTGTTCTTTCTTCTCCTCCTCCATTTTGGCGGCCTCCACCCTCCTTGTAGCCTCCTCCGCCATCTCCGCCCGAGCAGCCGCTGTCCGCTTCCAATACTCTTCATTCTTCTTCATCTGAGCGGCCTTCATCTCGCTCGGAACGGACTCCACCTTTTTCCACACAGCAAGCTTCTTCGCCGTCCAAGCAACCCAACTCTTCTCCAAACCAGACTTGAAACTCTCCTTCACCACAGGCAACAACACCAATGCTCTTTCTTCGCCAGCCGCAGCAGTCGTGTCTCTACTCGCGTGAAGCGCCCGTTCGTCGCGCACCTTCGACTCTATAGTCTGATCTTGGTCGGACGGGGTGCCATCGGGCGGCGTGCTGGCTGCGAAAGCCAGTAGAGCGTCACTATCAGCAATTGCACTGAGCAACAGCACGAAGAGAAGCAAGCACTTGATCATCCAAGACGTCAACACTTGCAGTCAGTGAGCGGGCAAGGGAGAAAGTGAGGGAGGGAGGGGTCCGAATGAATGCACACCACGCAAATTTGATGAAGGCCTTTTTGAAGATTCTTGATAGGTGAGGCTTATCGCCATGAGCCAAGGCTTTGTGCAGCGCGCGTGTTGTCATGGCCAAGAGATACGACTAGACCAGTTCACGAAATGTGGTACCGCATAGAGACATGCACATCAATGCGATCCTTCCAATCACAAAGAGATTTCCAGACCGTCTGGAAACGCGAAAATTTCTATCAGAACGCGACCAGAATTTGCTACAAAAAAGGAAAAAAAACGATGGCGCTGGCTGGACAACAGGCTACAACCGAAGTAGTACGACACAGCCTACTTCGGTTGTAGCCTGTTGTCTAGCCAGCGCCATCGTTTCTCCTTTTTTCGTAGTAGCTTTTGGTCGCGTTGACCTTTGTAATCGTGGATCGGACAAGGAGCCTTCTGCACTATCCAAACTTGCAATGTGACTATGATCTACCTCGGAACAGGAACGTTAGCACGGCATACACAATGATGAGATAGGGGAGCAAACTCTAGAGATCGCCCTTTAATACAAGTAGTCCAATTCATAGACCTGAATCAAGTTGCAAAGCGAGACACTACAGCAGTCACTGAAGAATGTGAGCACGATGCTGTGCCTATCTGTATCAATCGAGTACAGTATACTTAGGCAACGCGATCGACCTTTACTTATAGGCGTCCTACACTTGCTCATGTGATCATGCTTACCTTCAAAAATTTAAGCCAATCATGTGCACAGTAGCGACCTAATCAAAGAGTGACTTCAGATCTAGCCATACCTACGGGGGGTGAGCTAGATTGCACCTAGTACGGAATCGGTACACCTAACCGCGTTATTTACGAGAGCCAGACAGACAGACAGACGGACTAGGACAGATAAGTACGTTTGAGAAGTTCGGTATTCAACCTTGCGCACAGTCAACTGTAATAGCTTCACCCTTCGGGCTCGCAACAATTAGACGAGGCAGCCATCCGGTCTCGTGGAAGGAAAAGAAATCTTGTCTGGATGCGCTGTCCATGTCTCAGGTGGTGCACAGGTGGCACGCGGGCGCATTGCAGGACCCGTGGTAGGCAGCGTGAGTTTAACCATGACAAATTCAACCTGTAGCTTGAGTACGTTTTGCTTTCAGCTACGCCTCGGGTGGTTATATGATCACGACTTCATCCTACCATATCAATAGCCATCATGTGATGCACCTTTAGACGCGACAAATTCAGAAGCGTCTCTCCCTGCTGCTGCCGCTACGCTTATCGAGCCCATGTTGTTGGCTGGCCACGCACTGCTGCTTTGAGAGGTGACTCCCGCCGGCCCTTGTTGCTGACTTTCCAACGTTTTTCCAGAGATCCGTTTAGCCTCTTTGTTTTTGTCCGCTTAGACGGTGGCTTCTGACAAGTCCCGATCGAAAGCGGCACTTGCCTGTTTTGCAGCAGTAGCGAGCAGTCAAAAGACGCGATGTCGGCACCAACATCACCCACATTAAAACGCAACTCCTCCGTGGCTCAGTGTCGGCCTAGTGAGATGGCCATCAAGTAACACTCTACGTTTTCGCAGTATGTGCAGCCACCGTACGGCTAGTACTTCGATCATGCGACTTGTCCCGCTTGACACAGTCTTTGATCCTGCAGATCGCGTACCCACCTGCGCGAAAAGAAACACACGAGAAGGTGGCCGGATAGTCGGACTAGACAGCCTCGCCTTGTCTGATGCATAAAGATGTGAACCCGCCATGCTTCTAGCACAGCTCTCGGCTCTGCGTGCGGCAGCTGCAGCCTCTGTATCGCATCGCTTGCCGTCCTCGATGCACAAACTAGTTCTATCAGCTACGAGTCAGCGACTTACAACTGGATAGCCAAAAGAGAGCGGTGGACTGACCAGAGTCGGATATGTAGACCATGAGCACCACATGATGTTTACGACGAGACTCGTTGCTTGCATGCAGGAGCTATTCATTTCTCGTACCTATGTGCCGTACCGGACGTGTCTGTCTCCGTCAAGCGATGCTTGCCAAGCTGAGGGACGCAACCAAGATGAGCTCCTGGTTCACTGGTACAGAGGTATTGTAGACTTCAGCTTTATGGTAGTAGCGACGTGGCTGCCAGTGTCTAGAATACAGTCGATGGAGCGCCGAGCGTCGAGACTGTGGTCGCAGCTGTGTGTAGCCGGACCCTGAGACCGTCAAGAGCTAAACTAGGTGGAAACGGGGACGAGGCCAGCTGCAGTAGCGCTAACTCGATCGTGGTCGAGACTAGAGACAAAGATCGTGAAAAGACAAGGGACACATGGCTAGAACATGCAATTGACGCGACGTTGAGCGCGAGTCTCGCATCGTCGTTGAGCGCGACTCTTGCATCGTCGTTTGCCGAGTGATTACGAGCGACTGAGCTGCTCGCTCGTTGGGGCTCGAGAAGTAAACGGCGAGAGGGCAACCTCTACCCAAAAGCAAACCAAACGGTGCGTCTATGGATCTCTCCTGCTATTCTGCGACAGACAGGAAGCAAATGAGCACACCTGGACGCGCATTTAGCGCTTCTTCTTTGTGCTGTTCCTGGAGCGACCTCACTTTTCCTTTCCTTCCTATAACTCGTAGCTGCTACAAAGCAGTATACAAACGCCAACCGGCAGCATGTATACACTGATGACTCGAGTGCTAGGCTGTCGATAGTTTGTTCAAGTCTTGTCGTATTCTCTACGCCGTTCAGGTGACGACAGAATCGCCGTGTTCCCGGACGCGACCGAGTCCGGAGGAGGACGAAAGTCACGACTGTTTCGCAAGAATAAATGGAATGGAAGTACGTCATGTGCATTTCTGGAAGAGGTAGTGAGCAAAGCGACAAAGACTCGATATGAATAGTATCTCCAGGTTCTAGCTCCAGAGAGTAAAAGCTTTCGACACTGTGCGATGGATGCACAACTCGTCTTGAGTCGGCTCGATGAGCCACACAGAGCGCCAGCCTTCGGAAGTCTTGCAGTCTGTAGCTTCGCAACTGCCACAGGTGTCGATCTCATCTCCCGTCCGAGCACTAGGCAACCTCAGTCGGACACCTAATTACACCGACTGGTTCCAGAGGTCGCAGCCTCCTTGCGGCTGGTCTGGACCACGGAATGAACATAGATGACACCGCCACTGCAATGCCCATGCGGCGTTCGGAAGTAATGAAAACACCTGAAGTCTCGTCGATTCTATCGGAACTTGCCCTTCACTTCAAGTCCAGTGTGACAATCTGCTCCACGCAGTCGACAACGTCAGAGGACCGAAAGCATCAGATCTCGCGTGACCCATTCGCAGGCAATCTGCTTGTTGTTGCCTCTGTCTGCACACTGGCCTGGACTGCTTTGACGCTGCTGAAAAGAACCAAGTGACCCGTCACGTCGAGACCAGGAGTGCCACGAAACAAACGCACGAAGGTGTTTATATATTTTACACATCTTCATACACGGAGGCAGTTAGTCAATTGCAGGTGCAGTAGCAGTAGCAGTAGCAGCTACAGCACCACCACCTTCCATCATCTGCTGCTGCTGCTGTGTCCGCTGCGTGCAGTGCTCGGCGCACAAGTTCCCGTTGCGCTCGTACGCAGGTTTTTGGCACGTCTCCACGAGGCAGCGCTTGCCGCCGCCGTGCGCCCAGCACAGACCGTGCGAGACGGCGATCTTGGAGCACGCGCCATGTTTGCAGCGCGTGCCGCCCCCGTGCGACCAGCAGATTCCGCGCGACTTGGCGCGCTTCGTGCAGCCGTCGACCGTGCAGCGCGTGTAGCCGCCGTGTTTCCAGCACAGTCCGCGGTTCTGCGCGCGGCAGTTGCAGTCGTCTACCGAGCAGCGTTTGCCACCGCCGTGACGAATGCACAGGCCGCGGTCCACGACGTACTTTTCACAGCCTTCGGACTTGCAGATGCGCGTCTTGCGCTTCTTCTTGAGCCGGGCCTTGAGGTCCTGCGGGTGGCGGACGTCAAGAGTCGTCACACTCATTGGAGACGCGACTTTGGCGTACGGATGGTACAGCGTGGTGGACGGGGGACCACCGATCGACGCCGCTGGAGCATACTGTCGCTCCTGTTGCAGTTGGTGCTGGTAGTGGACAGTTGCCACCTGATGCCTTGGCGGGTTCAGAAGATAAGAGATGGACGTCGACACGTTGGCTGGTGAAGACGTGGCAGACGAAGCGTAGCCGCTTTGGGCTGCGAGTGTGCTTACGAGACTAGGCAGCATTGGAAGGCGAGGGGACAATGACGGCAGACGGATGCTGCGGAGGGAGCGCGGGGCTGAGAATGGCTCCGACGGCAGCAAAGCTGCTTGCAACAGTGGAGCAAGGCGCGATGAGTGCATCGGACAAGCTTGCATTGTACCTGTTGAATGGATGGAGAGAGTGTTCAACTGGTGGCGTTTCAACGAGTGACTACGAGGAGGCTCGAATGAGCTTGCTACTTGGCCATACTTGCGACGAACGCAGTCGAGCGGTTAGCCAAGTCGTTAGTCTTGTCGACTGGCAAGAGCAAGTGAAGAAGGGGATGCACACACGAAACTTGAGTTGATCTCCAGACGATTTGCCTCATCCACGGCGTGCGTAAACAACTGCCCGTTCTTTCCCGAAAGACAGCGCGCTGGATCGTGTCCACGGCGCAGAGGGCGCCACGCTGGAGACCGTAATGCAGCTCTGAGCCCATATGTCCAACTGCCGCCTGTAATACACTCAGTTTATTCATAGACGGTGGTGCCGTCCACAATCAAATGCGACGCGCAAGCGATTGTTCAGGATTTGTTTTATCTGAGCCCAGAGTTGACAACGCGACAATGTCGCCATCTGGCTCTGCCGAAGGGTGAGCACTCACGTTTTCGCTAGAAATAAAGCGGGCGAATGCGGTGGACGAGCGCTGCGATCATGACGCTAGTCCGGCCGTCGTCGCACAAAATAAACTGGCTAAACGTTGCACGGTTGTACACTCGTGTCACCCACAACACCATGAGTCAGCCCCTGCTTCTCGATTGTTTGTAGAGCACTGCTGCTGGCTGCGATATCTACCGAGCGTCTCTACGCTCCATCGAGTAACATATCGACTTCGATAGAAGGCGGCCCTATTTGTTGTGCCTTCATAGTTCATCATGTACTGGGACGATAACCGAATGGAATCGATCTCGTTGGTGTCTTCCTCTCTCAACGCTGACGACCACGATCCCCAGAGATCCTTAGGTGTCTCACGAAGATCCACCACCTTCACGTTTGAAGGCGCATAGCACTGGCACTGACTTCTGCCACGATTCGACAATGCGCCGCGTCGCACCGTCGAATGTCGGCGAGTCATTCTTGCGGACGTATGAGGTGCGTCAGGATGAAGCGGCGTCCGAACCTCGATCAAACACTACGTCAATGAAGTGATTTCAGTAGCTTGATGGTTGATTTGGAGCATCCACGAATCGATTCGATTGTCTACAACCTCGATGATGACCGAGCGGAGCTCATGTACTTTGAACGAGCTCTTCGGCCGTGGACGACACACGTGTCCCACCATCCGCCTTTATTGCCCAACCCCCCTCAACGCCATTGACGACAGTCCCACATCTCTAAGGATCGCGGGAAAAGGGTGGAGCGATCCCTAAAAATTTGGTGCTTGCAAAGGAATATGCTATTAAAGTATGCTAGAGTCGGGTGAGAAACTGAAATATAACAGCTCTGCTGGAGCGAGAGTTTTGCTGATAATTAGACGATCTTAGTGGCGCACCACGACCGCAACCGATCCTCGTCTTGTACGTTTTAATGCATTTTCACGCATCGGCACAACTTCCAGAGTCTGGTCTGATTTTTGTGAGACTTGCAGCAATTCTGTAAGCTGTGCAAGAATCATCGTCCGCAGAAAAAGATAGTAGTACAGATAACTAAGTAAAGCATTGCAATCAAGGGCTTGCTGACGATTGTTACTGTTTTAGGAGCAGTACAATCTCGTGGGTACAAAGCACGCGCGATCCTCTCCCATTGCGTCGTCACGCACGTCATCTGAACCGCTGTGCGCGACTATCTCACGATGCGGTACAATAGCGTGACAAACAAGCTATTGGCGCGACAGATACCCAGTGAGCTTCGCTCCTACCCCCTTGTATTTTTAGTACATTACGAAGAAATGGCACCTGCCATAGCGAGTAGTGGTGATAGGACAACCATCTCGTAGGGGCTCGCGGTAGCCTTGCTTATATAGGTAAAGTGGCTGTTCATTCTGGCATCATGTACCCTGTCACTGAATGGGCTTACTATACCACGATGAGATGAGGAATGTGGCAGAAAATGCGTTGCATTGAGACAACGATATATTCAGCATTGGATATTCAAAGTCATGCCATGCATGTCGTGTTGGTCGTTGAGGTCACGACTCTACCTGGGGTCGTCGTTACGAGTGATCGACTACACCTTGCGCAAAGATTGAGTTCAGGGCGCGACGTATGCGGTCATACAATGTGTTGATCAAAGCTGATAAATCTAACAGCTTAGCTTTGTCAGCCAACTCGTAGTCGCGCATGTTGCGCATTCCTTTTAACCAAAGTGCGACAAGTCGATGTCGAGCTATCTCTCGTGGCATCATCGACGAAGCCAGGGTGGGTAGAGTCACCACGCTCTTCCATGTCTCTTCTGATAGTACCATCCAGTTGGACATGCTTAGAGCGTAATCATCGTCACCTCGCTTCGGACAATCTGAGCCACGGACGTAAGACTGCGCGCAAAGCTTTGTCTCCAGAAGTGCTGTTCACGTTTCGGGTCGAAACCGTAAAAAATATCGCAACTGCATGAACTATTGCTGATAGTAGCTTATCGCTGAAGTATGGCAGGAGATGTTCTCGTTGTGCACCCCCAACCTTTTAGTATCAAACGTGTTTTGATTTGCTTCAGTAGATGGACGAGGAGTCAGAAAGTTCATTGGATTGAGCAGGGGGAAAGCGTGTGCAAAATGGAATGGTCCACAGTTCAAAGCACGCGGATTACGCATGTTCGGAGTCACCCAGCATCTCCGTTGAGCAGAGCCTGCGAGCACCGTCGAAAAAAGCATCCCATTGTTTACTACCGCGCGCACACGCTTTACCGCATCGCTCTTCCGTCTCTCCTTGCTGATTTATGTTCCGCTTCGATCTTAGTCTTCCCATCATTGCTTCACCGAAAGCGGCGCTGCTCCACCGAATGTCCGTTGTCGTGTTGCAATGGGTCAAAAACTGGAGAGAGGATCTTCTATTGCGGTACGCGATGTCTGGCCGGATGGTGCGGGCACGTTTCAAACGCGCGACATTCGATACGTGAGAAGCTCGCTAGGCCTTCATTCGTCGGTGGTTCCAGCTCATCGTTTATTGTATGTGTAGGCAGCTCTTGTAAGTAAACGAAGCAATACCTGTCGTACCTACGAAACACAATAGTGGAGGTTACGGTTGCACAAGTTCGGGGCTCCATGAGTGAACAAACGTGTACACACGTAGTCAAGTGTGCAAGCTGGCCTGCGAGCTTTTAAACGTACTGATAAGTGGAGCATGACTTTTTCTGCGCTCTCAGAGCCACCGTTGCTCGGCACGCATGCCCAGAAAAGCTGATCCAACGTCTCGACAGGCGAAGGAGAGACGTGACTCAGCGCAAGTACCCAGAACGCAGCTACTATCGGATTCGGCCCGACAACGACTGCTTGCTGGTAGAGTAGTTGTTCGTGCGTGGCTCAAGCTTTTCGCTAGGCTGGCGCTAGCTGCCCTTTCTGGCACAGCCATGACGAGCGCATTGATGGCAGTCCTGTTCTATCCCCGTCACCATCCCTGCCTGACTTCGTGCAATCTACATTTCTCAATGCAGGGGAAGACTTGCGCGTATCGAAATCGGACACGAAAAGTTTGCGCTTGCCACGAGAAAAACTGCAACGGGTACTTGACACTAGCTAGCACCCGAGTTTCATTTGAGCACACGAGAGTTTCATAGCTGACAACTGCAGATTGTATAGCGAGTCATCTTCACGTACTAGCGGCACCGGGGACTCGCCGCACCAACCGAGTCTCTGATCCTCAAACAGCCGGTTCGTAGTTGGCTAAGTATACGACAGATCGACATTTGATGATCACGTCGACCCGCCGAACATATCGTGAACAAACTCGACTGTCCCATCGTATCGTCTCTCCAAATCCTGCAGCTTGCTCTTGCCAGTCGCCAAAAGCATGGTCACATTAGTCCGAGCTGTGCATCGACTTGTCGATGTTTGTCAAAACCTCTTCACTCCCCTTCTTCACTCGTTGAAACGCCACCAGTTCAACACGCTCTCCATCCATTCAACAGGTACAGTGCAAGCCTGTCCGATGCAATCATCGCGCCTTGCTCCACTGTTGCAAGCAGCTTTGCTGCCGTCGGAGCCATTCTCAGCCCCGCGCTCCCTCCGCAGCATCCGTCTGCCGTCATTGTCCCCTCGCCTTCCAATGCTGCCTAGTCTCGTAAGCACACTCGCAGCCCAAAGCGGCTACGCTTCGACTGCCACGTCTTCACCAGCCAACGTGTCGACGTCCATCTCTTATCTTCTGAACCCGCCAAGGCATCAGGTGGCAACTGTCCACTACCAGCACCAACTGCAACAGGAGCGACAGTATGCTCCAGCGGCGTCGATCGGTGGTCCCCCGTCCACCACGCTGTACCATCCGTACGCCAAAGTCGCGTCTCCAATGAGTGTGACGACTCTTGACGTCCGCCACCCGCAGGACCTCAAGGCCCGGCTCAAGAAGAAGCGCAAGACGCGCATCTGCAAGTCCGAAGGCTGTGAAAAGTACGTCGTGGACCGCGGCCTGTGCATTCGTCACGGCGGTGGCAAACGCTGCTCGGTAGACGACTGCAACTGCCGCGCGCAGAACCGCGGACTGTGCTGGAAACACGGCGGCTACACGCGCTGCACGGTCGACGGCTGCACGAAGCGCGCCAAGTCGCGCGGAATCTGCTGGTCGCACGGGGGCGGCACGCGCTGCAAACATGGCGCGTGCTCCAAGATCGCCGTCTCGCACGGTCTGTGCTGGGCGCACGGCGGCGGCAAGCGCTGCCTCGTGGAGACGTGCCAAAAACCTGCGTACGAGCGCAACGGGAACTTGTGCGCCGAGCACTGCACGCAGCGGACACAGCAGCAGCAGCAGATGATGGAAGGTGGTGGTGCTGTAGCTGCTACTGCTACTGCTACTGCACCTGCAATTGACTAACTGCCTCCGTGTATGAAGATGTGTAAAATATATAAACACCTTCGTGCGTTTGTTTCGTGGCACTGCTGGTCTCGACGTGACGGGTCACTTGGTTCTTTTCAGCAGCGTCAAAGCAGTCCAGGCTAGTGTGGAGACAGAGGCAACAACAAGCAGATTGCCTGCGAATGGGTCACGCGAGATCTGATGCTTTCGGTCCTCTGACGTTGTCGACTGCGTGGAGCAGATTGTCACACTGGACTTGAAGTGAAGGGCAAGTTCCGATAGAATCGACGAGACTTCAGGTGTTTTCATTACTTCCGAACGCCGCATGGGCATTGCAGTGGCGGTGTCATCTATGTTCATTCCGTGGTCCAGACCAGCCGCAAGGAGGCTGCGACCTCTGGAACCAGTCGGTGTAATTAGGTGTCCGACTGAGGTTGCCTAGTGCTCGGACGGGAGATGAGATCGACACCTGTGGCAGTTGCGAAGCTACAGACTGCAAGACTTCCGAAGGCTGGCGCTCTGTGTGGCTCATCGAGCCGACTCAAGACGAGTTGTGCATCCATCGCACAGTGTCGAAAGCTTTTACTCTCTGGAGCTAGAACCTGGAGATACTATTCATATCGAGTCTTTGTCGCTTTGCCCACTACCTCTTCCAGAAATGCACATGACGTACTTCCATTCCATTTATTCTTGCGAAACAGTCGTGACTTTCGTCCTCCTCCGGACTCGGTCGCGTCCGGGAACACGGCGATTCTGTCGTCATCTGAACGGCGTAGAGACTACGACAAGACTTGAGCAAACTATCGACAGCCTAGCACTCAAGTCATCGGTGTATACATGCTGCCGGTTGGCGTTGTATACTGCTTTATAGCAGCTACGAGTTATAGGAAGGAAAGGAAAAAGTGAGGTCGCTCCAGGAACAGCACAAAGAAGAAGCGCTGAATGCGCGTCCAGGTATGCTCAGTTGCCTCCTGTCTGTCGTAGAATAGCAGGAGAGATCCATAGACGCACCGTTTGGTTTGCTTTTAGGTAGAGGTTGCCCTCTCGCCGTTTACTTCTCGAGCCCCAACGAGCGAGCAGCTCAGTCGCTCGTAATCACTCGGCAAACAACGATGCAAGAGTCGCGCTCAACGACGATGCGAGACTCGCGCTCAACGTCGCGTCAATTGCATGTTCTAGCCATGTGTCCCTTGTCTTTTCACGATCTTTGTCTCTAGTCTCGACCACGATCGAGTAAGTGCAACTGCAGCTGGCCTCGTCCCCGTTTCCACCTAGTTTAGCTCTTGACGGTCTCAGGGTCCGGCTACACACAGCTGTGACCACAGTCTCGACGCTCGGCGCTCCATCAACTGTATTCTAGACACTGGCAGCCACGTCGCTACTACCACAAAGCTGAAGTCTACAATACATGTAACGGGGTGAATCGTTACATAACAATTTATAAGAAATTGTTAATAGAATATAACTATAAGAGTTATATTCTCAGAATATTGTCATAAGGACAAATATTCTGCAGCACTTACGAGTAGTTCCTAATTGGTTGATATAGGCCATTATATCAACCAACGAAGACGCGCCACGACAGACGCACGCAATGAGTGGTGAGCAGATAGTTGATGTGCATTTGCATTTAGACATAGTTAGATGAAGATAAATAGTGATTTATTGCAGACATTAACTATACTAAATACAGTTCTACTTTTTACTCTAACCAAGTACTCGCTTCTTCTTACCGTCTTCCTCTGCACGTACGAGTGTACGTGAAGTTACGAGGCACCGCCTTATTCTGTTATCAGAATAAGTAGCTTGTACTGTCACCAGTACAAGCTTCAGGGTGCCCCGTTACACCTGGTAGCACTTCGTAGTCCGTCCAAGGACCGCGTTCACATCCAACATGAATATGTTGGATGATGAAGATGACCAAAGCTTTCACGCTACGCGTGACGGCTACTCCCATTTGAGCGATGTCGAATGGGATGCGGTTGAACGAATGGGTTTGACCATGGGCATCCATGCTGTTAGCGTCATGCTAGAGGCTCTCAATAGAGATGCCCAACATGCTACTATCGCCAAGTTCATTCAAAATGAACTTGACGCAGAACGCGAGAAAGTAGCCTTGCTTCACCAACAAGGTTCTCAACAAGCAGAGTTGTTGAGAGAACAGGGTGCTCAACAGTTTGAACTGTTGAGACAGCAGCAGGCTGCTGCTGGCGGGTCGATGCACTCGCGTCGACCCGAGACTTTGAAGATTGACATCTCAAAGTATAGGGGAGTCGAAGAGGACCCCCTCTTGAGATGGCTCGTCGATTTAGACGACGCCATAAAGCGCGTCGCATCGACGACGGGGATATGCAAGTTGCATTTGCCCAATCAAATCTTGCAGGACGTGCCAAGACTTGGGCACTGGGGCTCAAGTTGCACGACCCATATGCGTTTGGGTCGTTGGAAGTCTTCAAGTCGCGGCTCAGACAAACGTTTGAACCGCCTAGAGCTGAGTTCAGGGCTTGAACCGAACTCTTGAAGCTCAAGCAGGGTAAGCGTGATGTGCACGCTTACGCTCAACATATACGACATCTCACGAGTTGTATAAGTTCCAATCCGGTGGATGAACACACGTTGGTTTCGATGTTCATGCAGGGTCTTGCGGATGGTCCCGTCAAGACTCACCTGTTCCGGCTTGAACTAGGTTCACTAGAACAAGCCATTTCCATTGCGGAGCAGGAAGACTTCAGTCTGAGACAGGCTCGCGCCAGCTCGACATCATATCGTCAACCGAGACGATATGACAACGGAGGTCCAGAGCCGATGGAACTCTGTTATGTAGAGAGCGAGAAGGCTCGCTCTACAGGCTACAAGAAGTTGCAGAGATGCAACAGATGTCAAAAGACAGCACACTACGCTTACGAGTGTAGTGCCCCTCGTCCAGTGTCTCGCGACACTGGGCGTAGTGACCGTCCACCCATGAGAAAGGGGCAGGGACGAGGGTCCGTAGTTGGTGCAAAGACGCAGCAACGGGATGGACCGTCAAAAAACGGACAGGATCAGTAGGTGCGGAGCACCCTACTGGTCTAGCAACGTCAAGAGAATTTGTAGGCCTCTTGATGAAGGTTGCTCCCAACACACAAACGTTGTGCGTTGCTGCTCTAGGTAATGAGGTCTCACTCATTACCTTGAAACTCGAAGTGACGAATAAGTTGTCCCTTCGAGCTCTAGTCGATTGTGGGGCGTCCAACAATTTTGTGCGACGCCAATCGCTAGAAGATGGTCACTTTAAGTTCAGTGAATGTGACACACCTCCTACGAGGATGACGGTACGTCTTGCGACAGGCGCATCCGTAACCGTCATGAAGCGTATAGTGAAGATCCACTATACGCTAGAAGATACCCAATATGACGATTACTTTATCGTATTGGATTTGGATGACAAATTTGATGTCATCCTTGGAATACCGTGGCTCAGAAGGTACGAACCACGGGTAAACTGGCAACATCGAACAGTAACGATGCCTGCCGCTTGTTCATCAGATGACCATCTGATGAACGTTTTGGAGCGTCCACAAGCGTGTGGATGTACTACGAGTGAGTGCGATGGCCTCACTTGTGGTACGGTCGTTAGTACGACTGCACAAAACCTTAGTGTACCAAACGGTTACACTTCGGAGCAAAGTTCCGGCGGCTGTGAGGAAACACAGGCTGCGCCGAAGGTCCACCACTCGAATAAGTCGGGTGGACTGGGACAAAGATGTATCCCTAGCGGGGAACATCTAGAAGAGAAACAATCGATCGCTCAGGTTAAGCGAAACGATAATCCTAGATCGACTGGAGAGTCTTTCGTAGAGGATCTCGCTGTGGTTGCGCAACCCCAGCTAGAGGAAGTAAAGGGAATAAGTTCCAAGATTACAAATACGGCGGAAATAAGTTCCCCGAAACCCGCGGGAATAAGTCCCCGGGAAGTCGAAGGAATAAGTCCTTCAAAGCCTGAGGGAATAAGTCCCCAGGAAATGACAGAGACATTGGATGTCATAGTCAATAACGGATCAAGTGTAGGCGCTTATACACTTGATCTGATTACGCCTCCGAAGTTAACTTCGGAGATCACTCAGTTGCCAACGCTCGAACATAAAAGGTTCTTGCGTGATCTGCGTAGTGGCAAAGTCAAGCAGATCTGCATACTCGTCGCTGACGATGAGTGTGTAACCGACATAAGGTCAGCAACAGTTTTTACTGAGAACGAGAGAGTTCTCAGTAGTTCATCGATGGACGAGAGCGTCCTCGATGAAAAGACACGAATTGAGCGATATGAGTCCCAATCGTGGGAATCGCTCAAGACAAATCCTCTCTATGAAGATTTGGTTGAATTCAAGGATGTATTCCCTGAAACTGTTCCGTGCGAATTACCGAAGGATAAAGGTATTCGACACGAGGTCGAGCTTAAACCAGGCTCGAAGTACTGTGTCATGAAGCAGTGGCCACTGCCTCGTGAACAAGTACTTGCGATCGACAAGTTCTTTGCCGATCGTTTAGCTGCGGGCCATGTGAGGGAATCAACTTCCCCACATAGCTCTCCGACCTTCTGTGTGCGAAAAGCAACAGGAGGGTGGCGGATAGTGCACGCGTTCAACAAGTTGAACGCTGCAACGGTACCGGCTCAGACGCCGATACCAAGAAAGGACGTAATCATTGATGGTATGTCAAAGAGTACCATCTTTTCGTCCATGGATTTGATGGATGGCTACTATCAAATCCTAATGCGGGAACGGGATATACCCTATACCGCAGTTAGCACGCCTAGCGGCATGCTCTGGGAATGGCTAGTAATGCCACAAGGGCTCAGTAATGCCCCTGCCACGTTCAACAGGTGTGTATCACATCTGTTGAGGCCAGTACGAGAATTCGCGCCGAGTTATTTCGATGACGTATTCATCCATAGTCGAGCTATGGATGGAAAGTCGGACGTTGAGGTTCACAAGTACCACGTCCGACAAGTTCTTACAATCATGCGAAAGCATCAATTGTATGCAAACCTCAAGAAGTGTATATTTGCAGCAAGCGAAATACCACTTCTTGGGTGCATCGTTGGTAAGAACGGTGTACGTCCTGATCCCGAAAAGATCAAGGCGATCACCGACTGGCCCGTGCCGGTCGATGTCAAAGGTCTTCGAAAATTCCTTGGGCTAGCGGCGTATTTGCATAAGTATTCACGCAATTACGCCGAGATGACTGTACACCTCTCTCGTTTGTTGAAAAAGAACGAGAGGTGGTTATGGAACGCTGAATGTCAACGCTCCTTTGAGGGTATCAAGCAGAGCTTGATACAATCCCCAGTCCTAGCAATAGCCGATCAGGACAGGCCATTTCATGTGGTCTGTGATGCCAGCGATTTCGCAATCGGCTGTGCATTAATGCAGTACGACCTTGAAGGCGTTGAACGCGTCGTCTGCTATCAGTCGCGTCAGCTGCAACCAGCTGAGCGGAACTATCCAGTGCATGACAAGGAACTCCTTACCATGAAGTATGCACTCGCGAAGTTCAGAGTCTATCTATTAGGAGATAGACCCTTCGTTGTTTACACTGACCATGCGTCCTTACGCACGGCAGTGAACAGCCCGCACCTTTCACAACGAATGGCGCGGTGGTTGTCATTCTTTGCAGAATACAACTTTACGGTCGAGTACAAACCAGGACGACTTAATGTCGTCGCTGATGCACTCTCACGTCGTCCCGACTTTGAACCAGTCGTGAAACCCAACCGTGAGACAGCCACTGTTGCGGTTATGACGTCCACAATACCATCTTCAACGTTGCATTAAGATGTGAGGCGGGCATACGCCCAAGATGGTGAGATAGTGAAGTTGTTGACACATCTCTCCCAACCATCTCGAGAATCGTGGAAACGATTGTCGTCTGCGTATCGATCTGCATCAGATCGATACACTACTCGTAACGGTTTACTGTATTATACAGCCGTTTCTGGTGACACACCACGTGTTGTCATTCCAGATGATACTGATCTGCGTTTGCGGATCATGTTCGAGTATCACGATGCTCCTATAGGAGGACATCGTGGCCGAGAGAAAACATATCTCACGGTAAGTCTAGACTTTTACTGGCCCCGCCAGTATCAGTTTGTGCGAAAGTATGTTCGCGCATGCGAAGTCTGTCAACGAGTGAAGTCAAGTCCTTCACTGCGTGCACCTTTACAGCCTCTACCGGTTCCGGCTGAGTGTTGGGAATCCATCTCAATGGATTTTGTCTTCGAGTTACTTAAAGACGCACGCGGGAATACGGGTATTCTCGTATTTGTTGACAGATTTAGCAAAATGGTACACCTTGTGGCTGTACCAGAGACAATCACGGCAAGTGGCTGTGCTTGTGTCTTTATTGACACCATCTTCCGACTTCATGGGTTGCCCCGTGAACTCGTATCAGACAGAGATCCACGATTCACTGCTGATTTCTGGCGTTCCGTGTTCAAATCACTCGGAACGCGCTTGAAGATGTCAACATCTGATCATCCAGAGTCAGATGGTCAGACGGAACGTGCCAATCGTGTCCTTGAAGAGATACTTCGAGGTTACGTACACTCCTTTAAGAGTTGGAGTGAGTTTTTGCCAATGGAAGAGTTTTCCATCAACAACTCGGTGCATGCGTCCACGACACACACACCGTTTTACGTGAATGGCTTGCGCCATCCGCGTGTACCCACCTTACTAGAGTGTAACTCTGGTTTAAGGGGGGGAGGGACTCGCGCGAGCAAAAACCGAATTGGTTCACGCTCATCACGCTCTGACGAAGAAGTCATTGCGTTTGATGCCGATATCGATAACATCGATATCGAAGAAGATGATGCCAGTGAGAGTGCGGAAGCCCTCACTGAAGAAGATGATCCCAGTGAGAGTGCGGAAGCCCTCACTGAAGAAAAGGTTGATGTTGCTGCAGTGCGCTCACAGCACACTGAAGCTAACGAGTCATCAGATGAGTTCATGACTGGCTCGTGAAACGGTAGTCCGTTTTGTTCAAGACTCCAACGCCGAAGCGGTGGGTAAGCAAAAGCAAAACGCTGACAAGAATGGAAGGGCAAACACTCTTTTATTTAATAAAGGTGACTTAGTCCTACTGTCTACGGTTAATCTACCAAAGCATGTAGTGACTAACTTGGGTAGCAGTAAACTACTACCCAAGTACATCGGCCCATTTCGTGTATTGCACCGCCTAGGCAATGCATACACGATCGAGTTACCACGTAAGATGCGAACGCATCCCACGTTTTACGTTGGTCGGCTTAAGCTGTACCATCAGTACGCTGCTTCTTTCGATGAAGAACGCCCTTGCGCTCAAGCATCTCGCAGAGAGCCTTGTGCTCCCGATGGTGGGCATCAACAAGAGTCTGAAGAGCAGCTATCTCATCCCAAGACCGATCAGCAATCCCACGAGCTACCCTTAGCTCGTCACGAAGAGAAGTCAGAGATCTCTCGTTCTTAATCTGAGCAAAGGCAAACTCAGCTCGATGCTTCGAGTCAGTGTCCGCCATTTGGAGACGCCTATTCCGCTCATGCTCGAGATCGTCGCGTAACCCTTGCGTTACGCGATCAAAGAAGCTCTCAGGAACACACCGATCCACATGATCGTGTGGAGAGCGTCTTTCCTCCTCCTCCACCTCCATTAGAAGACTCTCGTGGTGGCCAGCGCTATCTAGTTGAGCAGCTGTTGAACCACCGCGACGTGAACGGACGTCGGACGAGTTATCTCGTCCGGTGGCGTGGCTATCCCCCGTCCTGGGATACTTGGGAGCCCCGCTCCCAACTGATGATCGACGTACTGGGTCTGGTTGAGCAGTACGACGCGGCACATCCTGTGCCGCAGAAGGACCGCCGGAGAAAGTCTTCCCGGCACGGTCGCAAAGGGATTTCAGGTTGTCAATCCCTTCGTACATCTCAGTAGAGACACGTACGCGCCACCACGGGCTGGTAAGGAGGTAAGCCTCCTTAGGTGCTCGTGCAGAGTTGTTCACACAACATGGGCACGAGTCTCCCCAAGAAAGGCAGGGTAATCCTTTCTCCCTTGACAGACGATGCAGCTTGTAGCGTGCACCTGTCGGGGTTCGCTTTGTCAAACTTATCACGAGCTTTGATAAGTTTGTCGTTCCAAGCGTCACGACCTACATCCTCGAGATTATGGATGTAGGCGTTCCACGCCTGAAGTAGTGAGGGACCATCACGTTTGTGATTCCCACTGTACCATCGATGTCTAAAGAAAGCATCGATGAAGAATTCATGTTCAGCGCGATAGTTTTTCGCGCTGGGGTCAAGGTGATGGATCCTTGACGAATCGAACAATCGTGTTCGATAACGATCACTTCTCGTCGCCGAAAAGTGATCCATGACGGATTTTGGAGGCATCCATGCCTTCTTCTCAGGAGCGAGACGCAACACATTGCGGTCCCGCTCTTCCTGCGACGTGCCGACAGAAGTACTGGCACCTCGCTGCGAAGTGGTGTCAATAGGAGAACCGACACCACTATTAGCGCCCGAGTCTCGCGACCTCGAGCGCCTTTGCTTCGGCGATGGTTCATCTGATTCATCAGATGAACCAATGATGCTGCGACGCGAAGCATCGTCCATGCCACGCTTGGCAGGCGGCTTGGACTCAATCGCCGTCGATACGGATCCGTCATCCGTATCAGGAGAGTACGAGACACCGAGCTCGTACTCTGTGAAGACACGAGTGTCTTCATGACCAGCGCCTGCATCACCAGGTGATACAGGCTGAGTCGATTCAGCAACCGATGGGACATCAGTTGCTGTAGTTTCTGCTTCGGCGTCCGCACAGAGACGTGCAGACGCGCTCTCGGCGGCCTTGTTCGCGCATCGCATGGGCTTGTTTACCATGCGATGAGATGTTGGAAAGTGGACGCGGACCAACAAGTGCAAACCCTGTCCCAAATGATTTGGGACGAGTATCCATTTAGTCAATCAGTCACTAAAGTGACTGATGGTTAAGGGGGGGGGTGATGTAACGGGGTGAATCGTTACATAACAATTTATTAGTAATTGTTAATAGAATATAACTATAAGAGTTATATTCTCAGAATATTGTCATAAGGACAAATATTCTGTTGCACTTACAAGTAGTTCCTAATTGGTTGATATAGGCCATTATATCAACCAACGAAGACGCGCCACGACAGACGCACGCAATGAGTGGTGAGCAGATAATTGATTTACACATTTGTATTTAGACATAGTTAGATGAAGAAAAATAGTGATTTATTGCAGACATTAACTATTATAAATACAGTTCTACTTTTTACTTTAACCAAGTACTCGCTTCTTCTTACCGTCTTCCTCTGCACGTACCAGTGTACGTGAAGTTACGAGGCACCGCCTTATTCTGTCATCAGAATAAGTAGCTTGTACTGTCACCAGTACAAGCTTCAGGGTGCCCCGTTACAATACATCTGTACCAGTGAACCAGGAGCTCATCTTGGTTGCGTCCCTTAGCTTGGCAAGCATCGCTTGACGGAGACAGACACGTCCGGTACGGCACATAGGTACGAGAAATGAATAGCTCCTGTGTGCAAGCAACGAGTCTCGTCGTGAACATCATGTGGTGCTCATGGACTACACATCCGACTCTGGTCAGTCCACTGCTCTCTTTTGGCTATCCAGCTGCAAGTCGCTGACTCGTAGCCGGTAGAGCTAGTTTGTGCATCGAGGACGGCAAGCGATGCAATACAGAGGCTGCAGCTGTCGCGCGCAGAGCCGAGAGCTGTGCTGGAAGCATGGTGGGTTCACATCTTTATGCATCAGACAAGGCAAGGCTGTCTAGTCCGACTATCCGGCCACCTTCTCGTGCGCTTCTTTTCGCGCAGGTGGGTACGCGATCTGCAGGATCAAAGACTGTGTCAAGCGGGACAAGTCGCATGATCTAAGCACTAGCCGTACGGTGATTGGACATACTGCGAAAACACAGAGTCTTACTTGATCGCCATCTCGCGAGGCTGACGCTGAGCCACGGTGGAGGTGCGTTTTAATGTGGGTGATGTTGGTGCCGACATCGCGTCTTTTGACTGCTCGCTACTGCTGCAAAACAGGCAAGTGCCGCTTTCGATCGGGACTTGTCAGAAGCCACCGTCTAAGCGGACAGTGGCTTCTGACAATTCGCCAACGTTTTGTAGTTCTGTGACACCCGGGATACCTTTTTTGGTTGCATATCATTGGCTCAGGATGCTCGGATCACTTAGGTCATTGGCGAAGATTAGTTGCATGTCATTGGCTCAACTTGATCGAGGAGAATGATGGTTTGAAGTCGACGACGTGGTCCTAACTGACAACAGTTTGCCGTTAAGCCTAACTGGGGACCGAAAAATACAAACTAAGGCGACCACAACTTTAATAGTCACGTTCGGCCGAAAAGAGTTTTAATTATGCTGTTATACTGACTGATGCGAAGTATTTTGCGTATAAGTTTGAGAGGAAGTTATACTGGCGGCGTATTTGCATAAGTATTCACGCAATTACGCCGAGATGAATGTGCACCTCTCTCGTTTGTTGAAAAAGAACGAGAGGTGGTTATGGAAAGCTGAATGTCAGCGCTCCTTTGAGGGTATCAAGCAGAGCTTGATACAATCCCCAGTCCTAGCAATTGCCGATCAGGACAGGCCATTTCATGTGGTCTGTGATGCCAGCGATTTCGCAATCGGCTGTGCATTAATGCAGTACGATCTTGAAGGCGTTGAACGCGTCGTTTGCTATCAGTCGCGTCAGCTGGTCTCTGATTGGGCACACAAAAGTTGAGTTATTATACTCACTGCTGGAGACGCTCGAAGGCATAGTTCTACTGTTCCAGTTCTGTGGCATATCATGCCATCTTGAGAGTCTGACGATACCTGAAGGCTGCTCGTTCACCACGCGGTAATGAAAATCTGAGGCCATATAGTAGAGTAGTACTTCGGTTGCAGCCTGTCGTCTAGCCAGCGTCTGCAGTTTCTCCCTTTGTCGTCGCAGATTCTAACTGCATCCTAAACAAATATCATGTTTACGGACGGTCCAGAAAACTCTTTTTAATTCTCCATCGAATTGATCGTCATGTTTGCATGCAGATCCCTACTCCATGAACTAATGTAGCCTTATTTCTCTGTCATGCAGCGAGGCGTTAGGCAAAACCTTGGCTGTAGCGACAAGATTTAACTTCCCTGGAGAATTTGCAACGATCAGTATCAAATTTGCTCGGTGTAAGACACCACTCTATCAGACCCCCCCCTCGATCTCCGCCCATTGACTGTGAGTATCGACGTCTAGGATGATCAAGTGTTTGCTTCTCTTCTTGCTGTTGCTCAGTGCGGTTGCTGTCAGTGACGCTCTACTGGCTCTTGCAGCCAGCACGCTATCCCATGGCACTACGTCCGACCAAGAGGAGGCCATGGAGTCGAAGGTCCGGGTCGAAAGAGCGCTTAACTCAAGCGAAGGCACTGCTGCTTCGGTTGGTGAGGAACGAGTGTCTCGGCGTTTTTTTCCGCCGTTGGAGATTCGGGTGGGCGCTGGTTGGAAGAATCGCAATCATCATGCTGCTCGGATACGAAAAAAGTATGCTGACTGGAGAAAAGCCATGGATGCCCGAGTGGGGAAGGAGGTTATGTCTCAGGTGGAGGCTGCCATAAGAGAGGGGACGGCTGCTCGGAAGCAAGCTAAGGCTGCCTGGGTGCAGTATAAGGCGTCTTTGATGCAGGAGTTTCAGGCCTTTGAAAAGGCGGCAGATGCCAGGATGCAGCAAGTTTCTGACTGGGAGAAGATGGATGCAACCTGGTTAACGAACGATGCTCGCCGGGACGAGATCGTCGAATCTTTGAAGACGATAAAGGCACTCTGGAGTGAGTTGATAAAAGCTTCAGCGGAGGTAGATAGAACGTGGAGCAAGCTCGAACAAGCCTCGACGACGACAGAGGCAGACTGGGGGAAGAAAGAGGGAGTTTGGAACAACGCTGCACAAGCTTCGATAATACTACAGAAACGCTTCAGCAAATTAGAAAAGGGTTCAAAAAAGCTGTCTGCAACCTGGAGCAAGGTCGAAGAAGCCTCGAAGAAGGTAGACGCAGACCGGAGAGAGAAATACGCAGCTTGACAACCCTTGGCTCGCATTGTGGTGTGTGTAGAAGAACGGCCTGTGGCTGGCAGAGGGACCGCTGTGTATGTGTGTTTAACTTGGACCAAAAAAAGCAATATATTGATGTCATTAGCTTGATGCGCTCACTATTCCTTCACATGCAAGAGCATGTGTCTGCCATATTGAAGTCGGGGGTCGAATGAGTGACGTCACTGGATCATGTCGGAGAAACATAGAAGCGTCCAGCGGAATCTTGCATCATCTCGGTATGTCAATAGGCATGTTAAGCCTGTGGGGAGATTGAACGCGGCTGACGGATGATGCATTCAGGATAAAGTATGTAACGGGGTGCACCGTTACATAACAATTTATAAGAAATTGTTAATAGAATTTTACTATAAGAGTTAAATTCTCAGAATATTGTCAGAAGGACAAATATTCTGCAGCACTTACGAGTAGTTCCTAATTGGTTGATATAGGCCATTATATCAACCAACGAAGACGCGCCACGACAGACGCACGCAATGAGTGGTGAGCAGATAATTGATTTACACATTTGTATTTAGACATAGTTAGATGAAGAAAAATAGTGATTTATTGCAGACATTAACTATTATAAATACAGTTCTGCTTTTTACTTTAACCAAGTACTCGCTTCTTCTTACCGTCTTCCTCGGCACGTACGAGTGTACGTGAAGTTCCGAGGCACCGCCTTATTCTGTCATCAGAATAAGTAGCTTGTACTGTCATCAGTACAAGCTTCAGGGTGCCCAGTTACACCTGGTAGCACTTTGGAGTCCGTCCAACGACTACTTCGTGTCCGTCCAGCATGAACATGTTGGACGTAGAAGACGACAGCTGTCACGTCACACGTGAAGGCTACTCCTATCTGAGTGACTCATAATGGGAGGTATTCGGCCGCATGTGTGTGCTCATGGGCGAACCCGCCATCAGTGGTATGTTGGAGTCTCTAAGCAGAGACCGGCAACATGCTGCTATCAACAAGTTCCTACAAGGGATACTTGCCCTCGAACGACAGAAGATAGCCTTGCTACAGCAGCAAGGCTCTCATCAGTCGATGGGCTGGCCGACGCACATGCGTCGACCCGAAACCTTGAAGATTGATATCTCAAGGTACAAGGGAACCGATGAATATACCCTTTTGAGATGGTTCGTCGAGTTAGACGAGGGTGACGAGATGCAAGTCACCTTCACCCTGTCAAATTTGACAGGAAGATCAGATACTTGGGCCTTAGGGCTCAAGCTTTACGACCCAAACGTGTTTGAGTCATTGGAGATCTTGAAGTCTCGGCTTAAAGAGACGTTTGAGCCGCCGAGAGCCGATTTCAGAGCGCGCTTTGCACTCTTGAGGCTAAAGCAAGGTAAGCGTGACGTGCACGCTTACGCACAGCACCTGCGCTACCTTGCGAGTAGCTTTACGGAGAACAATGTTGATGAGCATACGCTCATCAACGTATTCATCTACGGCCTTGTAGGTGTACCGGTGAAGACCTACATGTTCTGAGAGGACTTCCGTACGCTGGATAAGGCGATAGCGTATGTGGAACAAGAAGACTTCAGCCTGAGACAGTATCAGGCTAACTCGTCAAACTATCATCTGACGAGACGCCAGGAAACAGGAGGTCTCGAACCAATGGACCTCTGTTATATATCGAGAGCTAGAACTCTCGCCCTTTGAGTCACAAGCGATCGTCAAGGTTACATAGCTGTCAGAAGATTGGACACTACGCTCACGAGTGTAGTGTCCCGAGCACTGCAACACGTCCAAAGACAGGACGTGATGACCACCGTTGGCCAAGGGAAGGTCCACCCATCTCGCTGAGTCGCGACAACAAGTCTGACCGTCAAAAACGGACAGGGTCAGTAGGGGCGGAGCATCCTACTGATCCAGCAACGTCAAGAGAATTTGCAGGACTCTTGACGAATATTTCTTTCAACACACAGTCGCTGTGCGTTACTGCCCCTAGTGATGAGGTGCCACCCATCACTTTAAAGATTGAAGTGACAATTGGAATGTCACTTCGCGCCCTAGTTGACTGTGGGGCGTCGAACAGTTTTATTCGACATCAGTCGCTAGAGGATATTAGACTCATTAATCTTGAGCGAGAGTTCCCTCCAACGAGGATGACGGTGTGCCTTGCTACAGGCGCATCCTTAACAGGGAATCCACTACACGCTAAAAGGAAAGCAGTACGATAATGACTTCATCGTACCAGATTTGGATGACAAATTTGATGTCATCCTCGGTCTGCCATGGCTTCGAAAATACCAGCCATGGATCAGCTGGAATCATCGATCGTTGAAGATGCCTGCCGTTTGTTCATCAGATGGACATCTGATGAGCGTCTTGGAGCGTCCACAAGCGTGTGGATGTACTACGGGTGAGTGCGATGGCCCCACTTGTGGTACGGTCGTTAGTACGACTGCACAAGATCACAGTGTAAAAGGCCACTACACTGTGGAACCAGCTTCCGGCACCTGTGTAGAATTACAGGCTGCGCCGAAGGTTCACCACTCGAAGAGATCGAGTGGACTGGAGCACAGATGCACACCAAGAAGGGGGCATCCAAGAAGAGAGATCGTTGTTGTTCAGGATGAACAGCGCATTGAAGTGAGATCGACTGAAAGAGAGTCTATCGTAGAGCAAGCCCGGTCGACTGAAAGAGATTCGATCGAAGAGGTCGTGACTGTGGTAGTGCACCCACAGTCAGTACATGTAATGAAAGAAAGTTCCAGCGTTCATGAGAGTGATAACTCCCGAGAGAGTTATGTTGAGGGTGTGGATCCCCAACCACCTGCGGATGTGTTTTCCCAGGAAATCACCGAGTCAGTGAATGTCTTGGTGAATGACGGATCAAGTGTAGGCGCTTATACACTTGATCTGGTGACGCCCCCGAAGTCAGCTTCGGAGGTGGTCAAGTTGCCAACGTTAGAATTTAAAAGATTCTTGCGAGATCTGCGTAGTGACAAGATCAAGCAGATCTGCGTACTTGTCACAGAGGACGACTGCGTCGCCAATATCTTGTCGGCACAAGTGTTTACTGAGAACGAACGGGTTCTCAGTAGCTCATCGATGGACGAGAGTGTCCTCGATGAAAAGACTCGGATTGAGCGATACACGTCTCAATCTTGAGAGTGTTTAAAGACAAATCCTTCTTATAAGGATTCAATCGAATTCAGGGATAATTTCCCTGAATACGTGCCATGCGAGCTGCCTATGGACAAAGGCACTCGGCATGAGATCGAAGTGAAACATGGTTCGAAATACTGTGTCTTGAAGCGGTGGCCACTGCCTCGTGAACAGGTCACAGCGATCGACAGATTCTTTGTCGATCGTTTAGCGGCTAGTCATGTGGGGAAATCAACATACCCTTTCAGCTCTCCAACTTTTTGTGTGCGAAATGCCACAGGAGGGAGGAGTGTATTGCACGAGTTCATCAAATATTACGCTGCAACGATACTAGCTCATACGCCGATACCGAGAAAGGTAGTCATCATAGATGGCATAGCAAAAAGTATCATCTTTTCGTCCATGTATATGATGGATGGATTCTATCAGATCCTCATGCGTGAACGGGACATCCCGTACACAGCAGTGAGCACCCCCAGTGGTATGCTCTGGGAGTGGCTAGTGATGCCACATGGGCTAAGTAAAGCCCCTGCAACGTTCAACAGATGTTTTACAAACCTGTTGCGAGCGGTGCGCGATTTCGCATTAAGCTACTTCGACGATGTCTTCGTCCACATCCGGGCTATGGATGGAAAGACGGACGTGGAGGTTCATAGAATCCACGTCCGGAAGGTTCTTACTCTAACGCGAGAGCATAAGTGGTTCGCAACCCTCAAGAAGTGTATATTCGCAGCGAACAAAATACCACTTCTTGGCTGCATCGTGGGTAAAAACGGCGGACGCCCTGATCCGGAAAAGACCAAGGCGATTGGCGACTAGCCTGTGCGAGACGACATCAAGGGACTTCAAAAGCTCCTTGGCTTGGTGGCGTACTTGCACAAATACTCGCGCAACTAAGGAGAGACAATCGTACATCTCTCTTGTCGGTTCAAGAAAAACGAGAGGTGGTCATGGAGTACTGAGTGTCAGCACTCCTTCGAAGTGTCCAATAAAAAAATCATACAATCGCCTGTGTTAGCGATTGCAGACCAGGTCAGACCATTCTTTATGGTCTGTGACGCCAGAAATTTTGCGATCGGCTGCGCGTTAATGCAGTACGATTTAGACGGCGGTGATCGCGTCGTCTGTTATCATTCGCGTCAGCTGCAAGCAGCGGAGCGTAACCATTTAGTGCTTGACGAGGAACTCCTTGCCATGAATTATGCACTGGCTTAGTTTAGCGTATATCTCTTAGCCGATATACCCCTCATTGGTTATACCGCCAACACGTCGTCACGCACGGCTGTAAACAGTCCACACCTCTCGCACCGAATGGCGAGGTGGCTGTCTTTCTTCGCAGTACAACTTTTCTGTCGAGTATAAATCAGGACGACTCAATGTCGTCGCTGATGCTCTTTCACGTCGTCCCGATATCAAGCCGACTGCTCCACGCAACACTAGGGGTGATCCCACTGTTGCAACACTATCAGTGAGTGATCCGTCGTCGAATCGACTCGACGACGTGCGGAAGGCATACGCAGAAGATAAGTCTCTTCTCTGGTTAGTGAATTACGGATCTAATCCATACATGCAAGCTTTGAAAAGCTTGATGTCTCAATACCGCTCTCCAACCGAACGGTATTCGGTCCGTGATGGACTTCTGTACTATTTAGCATTCACCGGCGACACACCTCGTGTCGTCGTTCCCGCTCATGATTATTTGCGATTGCACATCATGTATGAGTGTCACGATTCCCCAACAAGTGGGCATCTGGGTAGAGAGAAGACTTACTCCACGGTGAATCGTGACTTCTACTGGACCCGCCAGTATGAGTTTGTGCAGAAATGCATTCGCGCTTGCGAAGTTTGTCAACGAATGAAGCCTAGTCCCGTGCGCCATTGCAGCCTCTACCGATTCCTGCCGAGTGCAGGCAGTCCTTATCGATGGACTTCGTCCTCGGGTTACCCAAAGACACTCACAAGAATACTGGTATTCTTTTGTTTGTTCATCGGTTTAGCAAGATGGTCCATCTTGTTGCTGTACCGGAGTCAATCACAGCCCAGGGCTGTGCGCGTGTCTTCAACGATACTATCTTCCGACTTCACGGGTTACCCCGTGAACTCGTGTCCGATAGGGACTCCCGCTTTACAGCGGAGTTCGGGCAATCCGTGTTCAGTTCACTTGGAACACGTTTAAAGATGTCAGCTTCTGAACATCCAGAAACAGATGGTCAGACGGAACGCGTCAACCGCGTTCTCGAAGAGATACTTCGAGGGTCTGTTCAATTGTTTACGAGGTGGAGTGAGTTCTTGCCAATGGCGGAATTCGCCATCAACAGCTCGGTGCACGCGTCGACAACGCCTACACCGTTCTTTGTGAATGGCCTAAACCATCCACGTTTACCCGCCTTATTAAAAGTGACTCTAGTTTAAGGATTGTGGATTTGCTCGAACAAAAACCGATCTGGTTCTTGCTCATCACACGCCAAAAACGGTGTCGACGTGATGGATGCCGATGTCGATCACATCGACATCGATGATGGTGGTGGTTTGTCAACGATGCTCGTATATCCAGCATCGCCAATGAATGCCAAAGTGAGGACGATGACGCCGTCACTGGTAAAGACAAGGTTCTTTCATCAGTGCACACTAAGCGCACTTCTGTTAACAAGGATGAATCAGCACAGTAATTTCTGATGACTCGCGAAGCGGCTGTCCGCTTCGTTCAAGCTCTATTGCATGCAATAGATAAGCAGAAAAGAAACCTAGACGATTATGAAATAGCAAATGTTCTTTCATTCGATGAAGGAGACCTAGTTTTACTGTATACAGTAAAATTGTCGAAGCACGCAGTGACAAACGTGGGCAGCAGTAAATTACTTCCCAGGTACATCGGTCCATTTCTTGTGCTGCGCCGCATGGGTAATGCATACACGATTGAGCTGCCCCGTAATATGCGCCCGCATCCTATGTTTTATGTTGGTCGTCTCCACCCGTACTATCAGTACGAGGCCGTTTCGAGATGCGAATAACACCTCCGCGGCTGAGAGCTGAGACCACCTTCGAGTGGTCCCGTTTCAACGAGCCAGTCTGGTCGACTAGCGAAGCGACCCGTTCACGCATCCCAGCCATGTCTCGACGAGCTGCAGCCATCTCATCACTAAGAGAACGAGTCGAACATTCGTACTCAAGTCGCGCGAACGCAAAAGCGGCACGATCGTCCGAACGATCGTGCGTTAAGGAATTGTAACTATCCCTCACAAGATCCTCAAGCCCATAACGCCGAGATCGTTCATGAGCCAGGTCATCTTGCAACTGTTCCGTTAGACGGTTCAGCTGTTGAACATCAACTTGATCCGACCCTCGAGCCGGATCAGGTGTTCCCACCGCCACCA